GCTTGATAGATTTTATTTCATTCTTTCATTTTGAGTATGTTTCTTTTTGTGGGCAAGATGTGTCTCTTGAAGACAGTAGAAAGATGGATCTTGCTTTTTGATCCAACTAGTCAGTCTAGTCACTCTGTCATTTAATCCCAGAGTTAAGTCCATCAAAATTAAGAGGATTGAGAGGTATTTGATAGTTCCTGCCATGTTATCCATCTTCTTAGGGGCCGTGCCCTGTCAATTATTACTATAATTATCTGGTTCTCTGTTTAGGGGCCATTTCTCTGCCAATATCATGTTCTTGTTGGTTTTCTGTGTGTAGAACGTCTTTAAGTATTTTCTGTAATGCTGATTTGGTGGAGATATATTGTTTCAATTTTTCCTTGCTTTGGAAGGTTTTTATTTGTCCCTTGGGTATGAATGAGAGCTTAGCTGGGTACATTATTCCTGGTTGGTAGTTGTTTGCCTTTAGGGCATAGCATACCTCATTCCAGGTTCTCTTGTCTTTCATGGTATCTACTGAGAAATCTGTAGGTATTTGGATTGGTTTTTTCCTTTATAGGTGATTGATCTCTTCTCCCTGGTGGCTTTAAGGATCTTTTCCTTGGTCTCTATTGATCCTCTGGTTTACAATGGTGGTGGATGTCCTGTTCTAGTCTGGTCTGGGGTTCTAAAGGCTTCTTGTGTCTGGATGGGTCTATCCTTTTGGACATTTTGGAAGTTATCTGCTAGGATTCTGTTAAATATATTTCCTATTCCATTAACATCCTTCTCTAGACCCTCAATACCATTTAACCCTAAATTAGGTCTTCTGATTGCATCTTGTATTTCCTGTAGGATCTAGTTTGTTTCTTGGATTTGTTTTGAATTATTTTCTGTTCTTTCTCTATAAAGTCTAGACTATCTTCACTTCCACAGATTCTACCTTCTCCATTGTCTGCTGTCAAGATTTTCTACTTTCTTATTTCCTTCTAACTGGTCATTTTTGATGGCTTCAATTTCTTTATTGAAGCTTTGTTTTACATCTTTTACTTCCTTGATTTGGTTTCCATTGCATTTCCTTTCCTTCTGTTGGAATTCATTCAGCTTTCTATTTGTGGAGTTCATGAATTCTTCTATTAATCTTTTATTAGCTTCATCAATTTACTCATGGCCATGTGTAGGATTTCAATTTTTTTCATTCAGTGTACTTACCAGCACTGTTTTTAAAGCATTTTGAGAACTATCCTCTAGGTCTTTCAATGGCGGCTCTATTGCCTGTATATTTTGAGTGGGAGTTGAGGTTCACTGACTTGCCAGGTTTCTTAGGTTTCTACGGTTTGTTATGCCTATTAGGAAACAAAAGCCACTCCAATACAAGAGAACACAATTTTAGGAACCAACCAGCACCCTGTACTTGTAGACATAAGAGGTTTGAAATTACAGATACATACTCCCCTATTTACCTCTACTTTTCTTTGTTTGGGATGGGATGTTGTGGTTCAGGAGTGAGGATTACATATAGTTGTAAACAGTGAACAGATGTGTTGTGAGCAATGAAATGGTCTGTACTACAAGGATAACAAGATGAGCCACTTAGGCTCAGTCAAAATGGAACCAAATGCAGTCTAACTCATATACAAAAAATTAGGAATAATGGACTAAAGAAAATGAAGGGGAGAAGGGCCAGGAATGAAGGGAAATGAGTTAAAGTAAAATTAAAAGAAAAATTGATAGATGTAAAAAACTGATAATGTAAAATAGAGCGAGATGCAGGTAGGACTAGAGGAATATATGGAAAGGAGCAGAAGGAAGGGAACTAAGACCTACAGAGGAAAGCAAAAAAAAGTTAAAAGAAATTATGCATAAAACTAATGCTGAAATTTTAAATAAGATTGATAAATAGAAAACTGAGTAATCAAAAACACAGCCTGAATTAATTATGCATGTAAATAGGAAAAAAAGTCTAGTAATCACTATACTGTTTATCTAGAACTAAACAAAATAGCACTGTGGAAGAAAGAAGGGGAGAGAGAGAGATTTCTAGTTTGTTAGAGGGAGCTTATGTCTCCTCAGTGTCCACTATTCAGTCTCTTGATGGAGCCTTAATTGCCTTGCAGTGGTCAGCTTTCCCTGTGGCTTGGACTCAGACACCCTCTTGACACAGGAGTGTGGCTGCTACCTAGAATTCCACTCTCAGGCCTGATTGCAGGAGATTTGGGGGAGGTGGGATTTGTCATTTGCTAGTGCAGTAGCAGAGCTGTGTCCCAGAAGTCTTTGCCCCATAGCCATGGAAAGTGTAGGAAAAGAGGGTCTTTGCCCTCTTCAGATATGATCACGCCCTTTCAGGCAAGGGATTGGGCCAGGGAGCTTTGGATCACCACAGAGAGCTGGTTCCCCAAAGGTAGGGTCCCCAATGGGTTACTCACAGGTTCTGGAGCCTGGTGTTCAATTGGCAAGCTGAGACCTGTTGAGAAGCCTCTGCGTCTGGTTTCAGAACTGGCAGTGGACTCTCAGTGGGGTCTGTTTGCAGATTCTGGGATCTTCCCTGATTACCCTCCTTGGTTCCCACTAGTCAGGTGCTGTGTGCTTTCTTCAGTTTTTGAGTGGTCCTCTGTTTAAGGTTGGATTGACTGGCATTTCAGAAATGTCCTGGGTCTCCCCGCACTGCCTGGGGAGGCTGTGGGCCACAGCTGCAGCTGCACAGTAGAGGTCCACTTGCTGTTTTGCTGTTTTCTTTTGTGTTTCCAAGGAGAGATTTCTTTTGTAGTAGGATAAGTCTGTCTGTTTAAGGTTTGATTGATGTGGATGGATCTCTTGAGGTAAAGAGTGTCCTGGGACCCTAAATCTGTTTGGTCAGACATCTAGGGAGTTTACCTGTGGTGGTGGTGCCATCTTCCAGGAAGTCTTGGCAACTTTCAAGATTGTAAAAGAGCCATAAGACAAAGTCAGAGATGACCTGGAAAGTCTCTAGATGACACCAAGTAATTTTTTGTGCCTGTATTTTTTTTATTCATTTAAAAATTCTTCTAGTAAGTATCCTGTACAGAACACACAGCTTAATCCTGTACAGAACACCAGCCACCTCCTGCTGTGTGCTTCTCCATTAACCACTAACCGAGATCTTTCTAACATTGTTCTTTCTGAGGTGTCAGAGGTAGACCAAGTACCATGGGCCTATGGGCTCATCTATGATGCTCCTTGGGTAGATAAAGGCTAACCCTTTAACTTAACTGTGTGTGTGTGTGTGTGTGTGTGTGTGTGTGTGTGTGTGTGTGTGTGTGTGTGTGTGTTTAAATCCATTTTATAATACTGGGCTGTAAGCAGAAGACAGAGAAATTGCCTGCTGCTTCTGTACAACAGAGTGCTGTGTGTACTGGAGCTTTAACTCAGCATAAGTGCTGTTCCTTAGCTTTTTCCACTCAAGGGTGGCACTCTGCCACTTTGGCTTTTTCCTGACTGGGCTGGCTTTGAACTGTGATCCTCATATCTCAGCCTCCTGAGCTAGATTAAAGGCATGAGCCACTGGTACCCAGCTTTTGACTTCCTTCCTCTTCCTCATATCAGCCCTCATTCTGATATTTTCCTAAAGAAAAAAAAAAGCAAGGAAAGAAGTAATACTGCCCATTTGTCCAGTCCATGTATAAGCTGTCTTGACGTTGGCCATTGCTCAGCTAACATTGTTTTAACTCATTATTGTTATCAACAAGCTTGTGTTCTCACCACAACTAACATGCACTTGTTTATTCAGATAAGGTTTTAAAATGCCAATTTTAGGTTATAGATTTTTGCAAGTCTTTAAGTCTGATATGAATAATTGGATTTTGTTTATATGCAAAGTTTGATTCTTCTGAATCCTGTATTCTTTGTGCCCAGCCAATAATTGGGGAAAGACCACACTGTTAACATCATGGTTGTTAACATCATGGTTGTCTTGTTGGCCTCATTGCTGCCATGCCTGTTGTTGCTAATTCTTAATTTGGTGATGTCTTAAAAATTAATACCCACTGGTGCCTGCCATTTTCTTGCCTACTCATCTCTGCAGAAGCAGCTCAAATTGGCTTCTTAGAGTCAGAACGTCTGGGTAGAAGAAGAAATTGATCAGTTGAAACTTAATGTTTCTAAATTTTGTCTGATTTTTATTTTTCCATTTTCTTTCCCAGTTATGGCCAAACTATATCTGGCTATTTAGTTTTACCTGGCAATATTTACTCAATATAAAAGACTGTTTTCTTGGGAAATTAGTATTAGATTGCCTATTATTTTCCTCAAAGATGTATATATGTATGTATGTATGTTTTTATGATGAGACAAGTTCTCACTATGTGACCCTGGCTGGCCTTGAACTTTAGATTCTCTTGCTTTAGAATCATGAATGCTGCAGTATAGGTATGATATGGCCATCTTAAAAAAAAAATATTTTTGTGGGCTGGGAAGGTGGCTTAGTGGTAGAGCGCTTGCCTTGCATGCCTGAGGCCCTGGGTTCGATTCCTCAGCACCACATAAGCAAAAAGAAAAAAGCCGGAAGTGGCGCTGTGGCTCAAGTGGTAGAGCACTAGCCTTGAGCTGAAGAGCTGAGGGACAGCGCCTAGGCCCAGAGTTCAGGCCCCACGACCGGACCAAAAAAATAAAATATATATATATATATATATATATATATATATATATATATATATATGCATATATATATATATATATATATATATATATATATATATATTTGTAGCTGGATGCCAGTGGCTCACACCTGTAATCCTAGCTGCTCAAGAGGCTGAGGTCTGAGGATTGTGGTTCAAAGCTAGCCTGGGCAGGAAAGTCCGTGAGACTCTTTATCTCCAATAAACCACTCAGAAAACTGAAAGTGGCATTGTGGCTCAAGTAGTAGAGCACCAGCCTTGAGCTGAAAAGCTGAGGACCAGTGCCTAGGCCTAGAGCTCAAGCCCCATGACAAAAAAAAAATATAGTGATATAAGTAATACCCCAACCTGGAGCTGTTCTGACTTGACTAGGCTGACCTCTTATGTTGTTTGAAGGTCATGGAGGCAGAACAGACCAAGACAAGAAGTGAGCTGGTGCACAAGGAGACTGCAGCCAGGTACAATGCTGCCATAGGCCGCATGAGGCAACTGGAGAAGAAACTCAAGCGAGCCATTAACAAGTCCAAGTAAGTGTGGGTATAATCCTCCCTGGAGCTGTGGGGTTTGCCTCTCCCACATTTTCGCCTTGCACTAAGATCCCCTGCCAGGCTCCATTGCTCTCGTATGAGACTCCCAGAGTCAAAGGCAGGGATTCTGAAGTGTAACCCACTCCAAATATGGGAGACAGACAAAAAGGACTAACAGAAGCAAACCATTATATAGCTTGTCTCTGTGACTGACAGTGTGGACAAGGCCCTGTTTCTCAGTTTACCTGGCAGCATAATGGGGAAGAGTTGTATTTACTATACATATTTCTTGGAATGCTCCAAGACTAGTGTGAATGGGGATTTAGCCAGGTGTGAGTGACTCACCCCTGGAATTCTAGCTCCTCAGGAAGCTGAGATCTAAGGACTGCAGTTTAAAGCCAGCCTCAGCAGGAAGTTTGTGAGACCTTTATCTTCAATTAGCCACCAAAAAGCCAGAAATGAACTTGTGGTTCAAGTAGTAGAGGACCAGCCTTAAGCAAAACAAAAAATTCTAAGGGAGCACACCCAGGCCTGAGTTCACACTCTAGTAGAGGTAGAGGGTTATCACACTTTTTCCAAGGTCTTCTCATTTACCCTTATTATTTGCACAAACTTAACAACCAAACAATGTCCTTGCCATCATTTAGTTGATAAGGATGCAGGACTCGACTTCACAGAGAAGGAGGAGCTCAGTACAGCATTGCTCTATCTTGCTGCCTATCCCAAAGCTCCTACAAAAAAGGAAGTGGAGCTGTGGCTCGAGTGGTAGAATGCTAGCCCACAGACCCTGAATTCAAGGCCATCTAGGGCTACATAGTGAGAAGTCTCATCATAAAAAATAAATACATACATACTTCTTTGAGGAAATTAATAGGTAATCTAAGATTAATCTAATTTCCCAAGAAAACAGTATTTTATATTGGAAAAGTATTGTCAGGTAAAACTATAAATAGCCACATATGGCTTGGCCATGACTGGGAAAGAATATGGAAAAATAAAAATCAGACAGAATCTAGGGAACTAGGAGAAAGCTGACTATTTGTTGTCCCCTGCCTGGTCTGTGACCTAGTTGTATCTGCCAACAATCTGCCTGGTCACATTCCAGAAGGACCAATCCAATCTGCTCATGGTGGCCCTGCTGTGCCCAGCAAGAGAGAAGCAGTGCTCTTCTCCCTTCTGCACTGGACTGCAGCAGAAGTGGTTTAGGCAACCTCTTCCCCAAGCCTGTCTGATCTTCATCCCTGGAAAGTGAATCCAGGCCACCTTTACTGTTAGACATACATGTGTGGCCTCAAGCAGCCTCCTTAAGAGATAGGAGGAACCAGCATGCAAGGTCCCCAGTATGTTGAGATGAGCCTCCTGGTCCTCTGACTGGTGTCAGGCCCTAGAAGCTACAACTTCACTGCATGGCCTTGTCACAGTTCACTAAAACCTAGAAGGCTCACAGGCCAACTATAGCTCCATCTTGTAGAGTTCATTGTGCTAATCTCTGACCATTTGCTTTCCTGTCTTTTGCAGGCCTTATTTTGAACTCAAGGGAAAATACTATGTGCAGCTTGAGGTATGTATGTGTGGCCTAAGATGCATTGCTCATGGGTTTTTCTGCACTCAATTGACCTTTTTGGGGTAGTAGGCCTTCAAAAATGACCCTGGGATGGTGGTTCAGTGGTAGAGTACTATGGATTCGATTCCTCAAGACCACATAGGCAGAAAAGGCTGGAAGTGGTACTGTGGTTCAAATGGTAGAACACTAGCCTTGAGCTGAAGAGCTGAGGGACAGAGCCCAGGCACAAGTTCAGGCCCCACAACCGGCAAAAAAAAGATCCTGGGAAGAATAGAGAGACACATTCTTTAGTTTTCAGGCCTCAAAATGGCCTTGGTTGGCCAGGTGTTAGGTCATGTTTATAATCCTAACTATTTACAATCTGAATAGTGTGGTTTGAAGCCAGCCTGGGCAGACAAATCCAAGACAGTCTTATCTGCAATTAACTAGCAAAAAAGCCAGAATGAAGATGTGACTCAAGGTGTAGAGCACCAGCCTTGAGTGAAAAAGCCAAGAGACAGTGCAAGGCCCTGAGGTCAAGCCCCAGAACTGTTGCATACATGCACACACACATACACACAGTCTTGCCTGGGTTTTCAAGTGTCTGAAGCTAATGGCCAGTGTCATTATTCCTAGGACCAGAAGCAGCCACATCTTATACCTGCCAAATCAGAATCTTTAGCAAGGCCAGAAAACTTAGTTGTAACTCATTCGGGGATTCAGACACAGTTTGAGAAATGGATGGGATAACCAGGTAGCCAGGTTGAGACTTTTCTTTGGTGCTGATACTTGGGCTTGAACCCAGAGCCTTAGCTTTTTCCACTAAACGCTGGTGCCCTACCACTTGAAACATACCTCTATTTCTGACTTTTTGGTGTTTAATGGAAGATAAGCTCTCAGATTTGTCTGTTTGGGCTGGCTGCAAACCAGGATCTTCAGATCTCAACCTCCTGAGTAGCTAGGATTCTAGGCATGAGCTATCTGTACCTGACTAAACTGTACCTGGCTAGGTTGTGAGACTTCTGTGATGTTCCTTCCCTGAGGCTGTACTACACCAGTGTTTCTGGGTGACACTCTTGTCACTTAGAATAAGGAGGAATGACCACTTTTGGCCTCTGAACAGGTAACTGATGAGAGTAATCAGGTTGCTACCTTGTTTACATCTTGGGAAATTCTCTAACGTAGAGTCATGCATACAAAAAGAATCATGCACACACACAAACTGTACTTGGTCATTTAAAAAGCATCTCTGGGGCACAGAAAGGAAGGGTGAACAAATGTAGTCATGTTATTTGATATACTCTGGAAAATGACTTAAATAAACTTGTGTGCAGAGATGGAAGGGGGTACTGGGGGAAAGCAAAGGAAGGGGTGACATTGTTCAAAAAAAGGAAATGTACTCATTACCTGAAATATGAAATAATAACTGTTCAACTTTAATAACAATAAGATTATTTTTTAAAAATAGCCAGGTACTAGTGGTTCGTACCTATGATCCTAGCTACTCAGCAAAGTCAAATGTGAGGATCATGGTTCAAAGCCAGCTCAGACAGGAGAGCCCATGAGACATTTTTCCCCTTGGTTCTTTTTTTTTAAATTAATTTACTTTATTGTCACTATAAAGATGATGTATATAGGTATTGCAATTACATGAGTCAGGTAATGAGTCTATTTCCTTTCATACATTGCCTTCTGTTCCCTCACTCATGAGACTCTTATCTCCAGTTAGCCATCAGAAAACCAGAAGTGGAGCTGTGGCTTAAAGTGGTACAGTGCTAGCTCAGAGACAGTACTCAGGCCCAAGGACTGACAAAAAAATAAACAGCATCTCAAAGACTTGCTTACCAAGTTCTCCTATCTTCCTAACCAGCAACTGAAGAAGACAGTGGATGACCTACAGGCCAAGCTGACCCTGGCGAAGGGCGAGTACAAGACAGCCCTGAAGAACCTGGAGAGGATCTCAGATGAGATCCATGAACGACGGCGTTCTAGTGCCATGGGGCCTCGGGGCTGTGGTGTGGGTGCTGAGGGCAGCAGCATGTCTGTGGAGAGCCTGTCAGGAAGCAAGCCCGAACCAGATGCTGTTTCTGGTGAGTCAGGCAAGTGGGGACCACATAGCTTGTGTGATCTGCATCCAGAACTGCCTTGGCCCAGGGTCCTCCTCATCACTGCCTGTCACTGAAGAATTTCAGAGCTGGGCAACCTCACAAGCTGTTTCTGGAGACTTCCCATGTTTTGTGGAAAACTGTTCAAAAGATGTGAATGAATATTCCTCGATTCTATGGTCAAATAAGTTTGGGAAAGGCTAAACCTTCCCTTGTCTCTGGCAATCAAAGTACACACTAGGAACATTCAAGGCTTGTAGAAGTCCTGCAGGGAAGAGTCTAAGAATAGGGAGTTGGAATCAGATTTTTATTCAAATCCTAGCCTTCACCTAATTATCAGCACATGATGTGTAAGGTAGGTAATAAGATAGGGTCTACTAACTTCCATGTTGGGTGGTAGTTAGGATTACATGAAATAATGCTTGGTACCACTAGTAAGCACTCAGAATTCCTTTCCTGGGGTAAAATGCCTGTAAGCTAGTTTCTAGGTTCCCTCAGGAATTCTATAAATCCATCAGCAAGTGTTTTAAGTACCAGGTCCAAGGTAAACTGAGACTATAAATAATGATTGCATGTATTGTGTTCATGTAATACTTATATACAAATCTCACATAATATCTCACAAATTATATGTATCCTCATAAATCTTGGATGGAGAGGATGGTGAAGCTCAGAGGTCAAATTGGGAAGGCTACACACTAAGCAGTGGAATTAGGATCTGAATTCAGATGTGGGCCCCAACACTACAGTACTTTCATAAAGATGTAAGAGGAAGAAAAGGGAAGAGGAACGATGCTAAAAAGCAGGACTGTGCAGGAGAGAGGCAGAGGCTCTGTAAGCACAAGAACATCATGCCTCTGGGCCTTGGTTAATCTGGTCCATAAACTGTACAGCACAAGCTACAGAACACTATAAAAGAATTCTGTTCTTTGCAGCAAATGGAGATCTAGGTAGACTCTAAGGGTATCTTACAAGATCAGAAATTATCCGAAAGAAAGCAAAGGACCTCCAGGGTAAATATTCCATACTCTGGCAGTTCTTGCTGCTTCTTTCCTAGACAGAAGAGTGTGTGTGGGGCGGGGGGGGGTGTTTTTGGCAATACTGGGATTTGAACTCAGGACCTTGCACACCTCCAGCTCAACTTTTTGCTATTCTGGAGTTGGGAGTCCAGCAAACTTTTCTGCTTGGGCTGGCTTCAGACCTCAATCCTCTAGATCTCAGCTTCCTGAGTAGCTAGGATGAAGGCTGGCTTTGTTGGGACGTAATTACGTTTTCCTGTGTACAGGTAGATTTGTTTAGGGGTCTGAGGTGTTGAAGTCCTGGTCTATAGCTATTTTCCTTTTGAGGTGTGGTGGGGGTGGGGGAACCCAGTGCCTCTGGTATGTTAGGCAAGTCCTCTACCTACCACTGAGCTATCTCCTCAGCCACCTTCCATCTTGAGGGTAGTGTCTGGTAACACTGATTTCTACAGTAGGGCTTAAGGTTACAGCAAGGTCACTAACTGTAACCTTAGGGATCCAAGCTGGTTCCTTTCATGCTGTTTCAGAGGCTAGTCAGGGAGGCCCAGAAGGTCACATTCCTGTCAGATGTCCTTAGAGCAGATTCTGCAGTCTCCAAGCCTTGTCTGTCTGGCAGCGGTATGTACGTGTGCAGGTTAGTCGGGCAGACCCTATGTGACTGGTGTTCTCTCTCATCCTTAGTGGCCTCAGAGGCCTTTGAAGACGACAACTGTAGCAACTTCGTGTCCGAAGATGACTCAGAAACCCAGTCTGTGTCCAGCTTTAGTTCAGGACCAACGAGCCCATCTGAAATGCCTGACCAGTTCCCTGCAGTCACAAGGCCTGGCAGTCTGGATCTGCCCAGCCCCATGTCCTTGTCAGAGTTTGGGATGATGTTCCCAGTGTTGGGCCCTCGAAGTGAATGCAGTGGGGCCTCTTCCCCTGAATGCGAAATAGAACGAGGTGAGTAGCAGACCTCTAGCTCTGTCTCAGGTGACTCTTAACTTTACAGCCCAACCTGTCCCCCACCCCTGCCAAGTCTTGGGAGCACCCAGGGTGGCACTGCTGGGTCTCTGACAATGTACTGCTGGTACTGGTCACTGAGATGGTTTCTAAGGGCTATTCTGGGGACTTCTGGCATTTCCTCATCAGAAGGGTTTTGATCCAATAGTTTAGGTCCTGTGTGTCTCCTCAGAATGCTCTGAGAGGTTTGTTTCCTAGCTGTAAAATGAGGTAACAACCCTGGGAGGAATAAAAGCTGGCAAACCCTCTCTGATACACATGGTGGGAAACCCCACGAATTCCAAAGGTTCCTGAGCTGGATGATTGGCTTGTGCCTAAGTGAAGCTTAGAATTGTCAACGCCCACTTGGTAACTTTTGTATCTCTACAGGAGACAGGGCAGAAGGAGCAGAGAATCAAACAAGTGACAAAGCCAACAACAACAGAGGTGGCAACAATAGCAGTGGTGTTGGTGGCAGGGGTAAAAGCCAAAGCCGCACGTCTTCTGAGAGCCAGGCTTTGGAGACCCGAATGAAGCAGCTCTCCCTCCAGTGCTCCAAGGGAAGAGATGGGATTATTGCTGACATAAAAATGGTGCAGATTGGCTGATCCATCCAGGGCCACCCCCCATGTACAAATCAGTATTTATACACGAAACTCAAGAACATTGTGCCAATTATCATTTAACATGCCAAATCTTAAGCATTTAAACTGCACTAACCAAGTTTCGGTGACTTGAGGGCTGAAGAATTCCCCTCTTGGGCTAGTATGTTTTTCCGAGCTACATCACTGCAGGCTGACTGTGACCAGGTTCACAGCCTTTGTGGACCATTCATTCCCTGTAATAGTGTTGTGGAAGCAATAATGAGTTCCTGTGAAAGAACCCAAGCTAGGAGGAAGGTTGGAAGCTTAGCCAAACTGGGGGCCACAGCCTGCGGCTTTCTCTTTTTTCACACTTAGTTTGGGGAATAAGAGATGTTTTCTCCATTATATCCCAAGATATCTAAATATTCAAAACAAAAATAAAACTCAAGTATCCAGTGCATTATCTTCCTGACATAAAGGTTAAAAGAAATGCAAGAACACACTTCATTTTCCTCACCTCTGGTGTTCAGAGGGGGCTTTTTAAAAAAGCATGTAGGTTGGGATACCCATTAAAACCATTTCCTAGGAAGGCTACCATGAAACTGCACTTTTGGGGATGGGAAAGGTGATGCCAGTGTGGGGATGGGGGAGGGAGGGCTGAGGGTAGCAGAGACATAGCATAGAAGGGATCCATGGCTGTGGGAGAGAAGGCTGTCTAGCCTAACCTTACCCTGCCAGCCAAAGGGAACTGACTTATCCCTAAGACATGTGCATGTGAAGCAGTGACCATTGTCATATCTACACTGACAAGGTGGTGATTTCTCTGTAGGCTCAACTTTTCAAATAATGAAATTATTTAAGGGTTATGCTGCACCTAGTATTTCTTAGAGCCAATTTTCCTTAAAGCTAGGAAAGAGAGTAGGCATGTGTTGGCAAAGGCTGTTTAAATAGAAGCAGTGGTGTCTGTTATGCTAATAGTATTAAGTGTTCAGACTGCTTTTCTTTAATGTTTTTATGGTTATGCATATTTAAAGCACTGTATTTTGTCTTAAGAAAATTTGGCATTTCTAAAAGAAAAACAACCTCATTTCAAGTTGTCTGTTGACTGTCACAGCTTATGTATTTTAGCCATTTGTACATCTCTTCATACTGTAATGGTTCTTTTTTATTAACTGATACAGTATTCTAATTACAAGGTTATTTTGTACTTAGTATCTTGAGTGTAATAAAAATGCTTAAGAAAACTCTGTGGCTTTTTAAGTAGAAAATCTGATGTTGCCTACTTTTTCTGTTGTGGGCAACCTTTATTATGGAGGAGCACAGAACGCAGTAATCATTTCTCCCACTTTTTTTTAACTGTTTTTGTCCCTGTCCTGGGGCTTGAACTACCAGCCTGAGTGCTGTCCCTGAGCGTTTTTGCTCAAAGCTAGTGTTCTACCACTTAAGCCTCAGCTCCACTTTCAGCTTTTTGGTGGCTAACTAGAGATCAGAGTCTCTTGGACTTTCCTGCCAGGGCTGGCTTCAAACTACGATCCTCAGATCTCAGCCTTCTAAGTAGCTAGTATTACAGGTTGTGAGTTACTGGTGCCTGGCACTCATTTCACTTTTAAGATCCTGAATCCTAATCACTGTAACCCAGATACAACAAGGTTTGGATTTGAATCCTACTTGTGCTGCTACTAAAGCTGAGCAGGGAGTGGACAGTATGGGAACTACAGATAAGGCATCTGTTGGCCTCGCTGGACAGCATGGACCATTAGCTAAATCCTGCTGTCCAGGGGCACCCTGACATATTTCACTGATCTGTGGTGCACTCACTTGGGCACTGGACCTTTAGAAGGTTCTTGGATGATTATAAAGGTGAAGAATCAGATAGTCATGGACCCTTTCTCAAGTAGAAACATGATACTGGCTTTTAATCTGTGGACTTGGTGTGTGCATTTCAAAGCCAATAATTGTAAAGATTTACCTAGTAGTAAATATTTCATGTCAAAGTTCATCCAAGTCCCTTTTGCTATGTTTAAAAATACTAAACAACGCACTTGACTTCCAGCGATCTTCAGATCCACTCAATTCTCAAGTGAAGTCCCCTGCATCTACCTCTAGTCAAAGACAAACACAAAGTATTCTCTGCAATGGAGACATTGCTCCTTTCCCTTGCAGCAGGGAAGGGGACACGTTGTTTGGAAAAGCACAAAATTGGGATGGCTTGAAGTTGCTATGAATAATATTTCTCAGAGATAGTTTGTACAGTTCAGAATCTAACATGAATTTCCAGCTCAAATATCTGCTACACAGTATGGTACCTTACATTTTGCCTTTCATAACTGGAAGCCACAAAACATTTCATTAATGATTAGAAATTGATCTTTTTTAAAGTACTTCATGCAGAGAATGGTAGTGTGATGGGATTTTCTTTTTGGTACTTGGAATGGAACACAACAGGCAAGCTCTATCAAGCACTCAAACAGGCCTCCCCTTTTTTTCAAGGGGTGGTGCTACAGTATTTGGGGTCTGGATCCAGTGCCAGATGCCTGAGACAGAATCTGGCTAACACCTTACAACCTAAGTCTGGAACACTATCCTCCACCTCCTGGGTAAGCTGTGATTACATGTGTACCCTACCACCTAGCCTGAGCTAGAATGTTCTAATGTTGGGGCTTTCCATTGTCTTTAAAACAAAGCCTAGAAAATCAAGGTATAATCTCTATCCCTTATTTGGGCATTGGGACTTATTTCCTGCCTCAGTTCCTTTCCCCATCACCCTATGACCTACTGTCTTTTTAGGGAATAATTATACCACTTTTTGCCCCTGGCTCCCCTTTATTATCTCCTCTCATGTTCTCACTATACACATTTCTACTTAAAGCAGCCTGCTCCAATCCTGCTATTACAACCTTCCTACCTACTCTCTGCTATGTTTGAATTTAGCTGATCTCTCCTACAAACATCCCCCACCCAAATCCTCTTGGTTTCTTATAGCTCCCACCATCAGTTTTTACAGCTTCTAAAAACTTAGTTGCTTCCATCAAAAGTCACTTCTGGCCTTCTTTAGTTCATATTTGTCGGTCGGGGCGCTGGTGGCTCATGCCTGTAATCCTAGCTACTCAGGAGGCTAAGATCTGAGGATCACGGTTCAAAGCTAGCCCGGGGAAGGAAAGTCCGTGAGACTCTTATCTCCAATAAACCACTAGAAAAACCGGAAGTGGCGCTGTGGCTCAAGAGGTAGAGCGCTTGCCTTGAGCTGAAGAGCTGAGGGACAGCACCCAAGCCCAGAGTTCAAGCCCCACAACTGACAAAAAAAAAAAAAAAAAAAGTTCGTATTTGTCTTCATTTTGCTGAATGTGTTTTTTTAAAAACACCTCCAAGGGGCTGGGAAGGTGGCTCAGCGGTACAGTGCTTGCCTAGCATGCATGAAGCCCTGGGTTCGATTCCTTAGCACCACATAAGCAGAAAAGCTGGAAGTGGCACTATGGCTCAAGTGGTAGAGCACTAGCCTTGAGCTGAAGAGCTGAGGGACAGTGTCAGCCTCATGACCGATAAAAAACAAAACAACAACAATAAAAACACCTCCAAATCTGAGTATCTGCCTAGGCTGAAATTGGAAACTTGACTCTGACTCATCACCCTTTAGCAATTCCTATCTAGATTTTTGTTTCATCTGTCCCACTGTTGTGACCTGGAACCTCAGAAGGGCTGCGTGATCTATCTCCCAATATCCTCATTCAATGCAGTTACCTTCCTCTGATATAGGTCCCACTCTGTCTATGTACTTTACAGCCTGCCCCACCCCAAGAGCTGCTGAGTTGTGGCTTTGGGTAGAACAAGACCATTAAGCTCTCAGGCTTAGTTCCTCAGTTATAGAAAGGAACACTAGTGCCTACAAAGAAAAATATACATATTGAACATATAGTGAATGATAACCACTGGCTAATTTTTACAGTTTGTCTTTTGAAGCTTTACTTTCAAGGTTTAAAATGCCAATTCTTCAAATAAACTTTCCTACACTGGGTTCAACACTACCACATATTGAATTGTTCACATATAGGTCCTTCTCCCCCCCCCCCCCCCCCCCACTTCGTGCCGGTCTTAGAGCTTGAACTCAGAGGCTGGGTGCTGTCCCTGAGTTTTTGTCCTCAAAACTAGGGCTCTGCCACTTGAAGCCACAGCTCCACCTCTGGCTTTTCTGGTAGTTAATTGAAGATCAAAGTCTCACAGCTGCCCAGGATGCTTTTGATCTGCAATCCTCAGATCTCAATCTTCTGAGTAGCTTAAATTGTGTGTTTACAACAGAGTTCTAACCAAATTCATCCACTGAAAATATGCTTAAATTCAAAATCCTAAGTAATCTGACACTGAATTAAAAAGAAGTTTTTGTTTTTCAGGGGTTTTTGGGGTGGGAGTGTGTGGGGGGAGGGAGGGAGGGAGGTACTGGAGTTTGAACTCTGTGCTATCAGCTTGCCAGGCAGGCACTCTATCACTTGAGCCATGTCCCCCAACCAAGAACACAGTTTTAGAAGCACATACTCTTATAATTGCAACTGCTGTTGAAAGCTTTCAATAAATCATGTTCTTTAGGTTAATTTCCATAAGTATAAACATTTTATTACAATTAAAGGCAGTAGAAATACAAAATAAGTTTTGATAATTATAAAGTGGAGACAATGAAAAATCCCACCCTCTTTTTCAGACTTTTAAAGTTTTGAGCATTATTCTGTTCTGATATTTAGGTAAACAGCTGGGAATTTACATGACACTATTCTTGGTGATCACTTTTTCTGGATGCTATATAACCAATCAATCACTTTTTTCAAAGTGTTGTTGCTACAAAAGCACTGAACTATAAATCAGTTTAAAGATACAGGCTAAATTACAATGTTTTTAATGCCTTAGAATACTATTTTCATCAAAGTGGTAAACCAAAATTGCAATAGGGAATATACCTCAGTTCTGTCTACAATGCCATAGGTGCCTAAGGCAAACAACCTTTGTTCTTAAGCCTGAGTGTCTTCATGCTAAGCTAATTAGTACTACCAAAAGCTTTATCTATCTTTCATAACATCTGAGCAACAATAAACATTTAGAACATAATGCAAAATTAAAATTACAGTGACATGATTCATTTGGAATTAGTGGGGTCAATACAATTGGGTTCACAACATGCTCTGTTTAAAAAAAAAAAAAAAGAGAAAGGTAAATATTTCAGGATATTAAATAGTCTGACAGTCTACTCAATGAGCCATGGCCCTCATTTTCCTTACCCAGTCTCAGTTCCCTTTTCCTTTCAGTGACTACATCTCACAGTGATGGATGTCTGAGTCTAATCTTGATCATATGCACTTTTTATATAAAGAGGCAACTCTATATTTACAAAATCAATGTAAACAGTACTTCTAGGTGATTAAGGGTAAATCTGACTATATACAAATTCTTACCAAACACTGCGACAAGCACCAGATTCCAATGTAACACATTCAGATTTAATTCTGCTCTGATTGTTTATCATCCTGAAGATCTGTGTCCTCATTTGAAGAATTGATGTTTGATAAGTATAGAATCCAATAATTGCTGAGAATTTTCCATCACTGAAGTTGTGTTGTTTTAATGGGGATAGTACTATTTAAGTCCAAGAAAAAAGGTCCTTCTTGTTTAGGCAAAAAGGTACTGGGAATGATATTGAAGATCCCAGCAGGTATATTTTCTAATTCCAGATAGCAAAATCCACACCTATATTCAGAGAAGGTAAGAATAAGGCAATGCCACAAAAAGTATACACTGGACATACACAATTAAAATGCCAACCTTACCTATAGTCACCACTTGATTTCCTCGAAAAGCCATGGGGACCAGGATCTCCCACCAAGGAAACACTTACAACCTCAAATCCAACACTATATTGCCTAGTTTCAAACAAACAGCATTATTTGTATTAGTAGACACAAATAAATACCTGTTTTCAAAATAACCAATCTAAAGTGCTATCAGATCATGCTATTGTTATCATCATAAAGCAGTATTTTCTATTCAATTGAAGTCATAAAAACTAATTCTATCTTGTGATGAGAGTTTTCTTTCACTTTTTAATGTTACTTTTTTTTCCCCCCAGAATTATTCTATTTTATTTGCTGCTGTTTTTAGGCTTGAATTCAGGGACTGATCATTGAGCTTTTGTGCTCAAGGATAGTGCTCTACCACTTGAGTTACTTTTTTAATACATCATTTTATCAGAAATATTTTCTTCTTTTCAAACATTTTTTTTTATGCCAGTCCCACGGCTTGAACTCAGAACCTGGGCACTGTCCTTGAGGTTTTTTTACTCAGGATAATACTCTGCCACTTGAACCATACCTCCACTTCCAGCTTTTGGGGACTGGCTTTGAACCTTGATCCTCAAACCTCAGCCTCCTGAGTTACTAGGATTACAGGCTATCAGTGCCTAGTAAAACATGTAACATCTTAATGTGCAGTTTCAATATATAGATTCAAGAATAAACATTTACAGTTAAGTTAAAACAATTAAAATTTAGAAACGTTTTTTTTTTCCCCTAGGGAATAATTTCAAAGACAAAGCACTGTCTTTGCAATAGGCAGAAGTCTTGGACAGGAAAAAAAAAGCCCTGGAAAATGAAATCTGTATTATTAGAAATAGTATACATGCCAGAGGTGGCACTCCAAATCAATAAAAGATTCATTTAGTGATCAGGTGACAAGAATTTAGAAATCATATTTCATACCATATATACATCACTATTATCTTCTTGAAGCTCTCCTGTTTTGTCTCTTATATTTAAGTCTACAATCTATCAGGAACTACTCAGATCTTGGGCTAAATGCCACTTCTCTTTGGGTATTCAATTATTCTATATCATTTATTGAAGATGTCTATTATAACACTATTAGTTTAAGAAAGCTACTCATCACAAACCTTGGTCCTCTTAGCTCAATCAGTAGTGGCCCAGTTTTTTCTATATGGAATTGGTAGATGGGATTATTTTTGTGAGTCTCTTGAAAATTTCCACATCCTCCAGCACTTTGACCACTCCACTTTCCATTAATCTAATTAAAACCAAGTTTTTGTATTAGAATTTCATATTCTTCAATTTCACGTTAAAGACAAAGTTCTTTTCCACCTTAAAATCAATAAATAGCAGCTTTCCACTGATACTACCCCATTGCTCCAGTCTTTGTCACTGAAAGTCAGTGTAACTCCCCACTCAGCCAGGACACTTTGCTATACTCCATCTCTTGGCTAATTTAAACCAAGTTGTTCCTGCTAGGAACTCTCTTTAGAATGTTCCGCTACACATTTAGCCCATACTGCCAAGTATTCTTGAATTTTATAAAGATTCATCCATAACAATTTTGCAAATCAAGGTTTGTATTAATGTTTCTGCTATAAATTACTTATTTTTACAGAAACATCTGTTTTTCACTAAAGATGTGTTCTGGAGACTAAAGGTTACTAACATTTCATTTCCTTTATTCCTATAAAACCCCAGAATGTTTTTATTTAATAATAAATTATGATAAATAGGAAAGGGAATACTAAAAGAATGCTGTCTGAGATGATAACCCCAAAAAAGAATTTTCTTACCCGTTTTGATAAGGTATATGGCGAAGGAATCTTTGAAAAAGTAAAGCTGCATGCTGAATATACCTAGATTTTAAAAAAATAGTTTAGTGCACACAGATTATACTGAGAAATTTTATAAAAGCATCAACATGATGAAAAATATATTGAAAACTCAGTTGGCATACAGGCAGCCTGGGATCAAGTCAGTAATTAAATGAACTGAGAACTGGGAAGTTAGGGGGTTTATCTTAGCTTTCTGGGTGCTATGTGTGACTCAAGACAAACCACAATTCTTCCAGATCTTGGCTTCTGCATCTGAAGAACAAAGCAGTGTTGATACCTCCCAAAGTCCCCTTTACCTCTAAATCTATACAAACTGAACTTCTTATACATGACAAATCTATACAGAACAAAATTATAATAGTCTTCCTAGCTACATGAGAGCACTGTTTAGAAATAACTTGCCCTTTTTACTATTGTTGAGACATAGTCTCACTGTACTATATAACCCAGGGCTGGACTTGTACTCATGATTCCCCTTCTAGCTCAGTCCCCCAAGCCCTGGGATAAGAGCCATATGCTCCCATGCCTGGCTGCAAGACATCTTTTTAAATAGGCTGAAGAGAGTTGGGGTTCTTTGTCCATGGCTCTGTAACAATTTATTAGACCAACATAACCACATCATCTCAGGTCTAAACTGTTACTATAAAAATTAACATGTTCACTCAAAATTATAAGCCAGCTGGGCACCAGTGGCTCACGCCTGTAATCCTAGCTACTCAGGAGGCTGAGATCTGAGGATCACGGTTCAAAGCCAGCCCGGGCAGAAAAGTCTGTAAGACTCTTATCTCCAGTGAACCACTAGAAAACTGGAAGTGGCACTGTGGCTCAAGTGGTAGAGCGCTTGCCTTGAGCTGAAGAGCTGAGGGATAACACCCAAGCCCAGAGTTCAAGCCTCACAACCGACCAAAAAAATAATAAAAAAAAAAAAATTATAAGCCAGGCACTTGTGACTCATACCTATAATCCTTGCTACTCAGGAGACTTAGATCTGAGTATCTCTGTTCAAAGCCAGCCCAGGGAAGGAAAGTCCATGAGACACTTACATCCAATTAATCAGAAATAGAGCTATGGTCCAAATGGTAGAGTACTAGTAGCCTTGAGCAAAGAAGCTCAGGCACAGTGCCCTGGCCCTGAATTCAAGCCCCAGGACGGGTACCAATTTTTTTTAAATATTATTCCTTAAAACCATTTTTATGACAAAGAACAAAGAAAAAAAATTAATCTCATTCCTTAAAACCAGTTAACAAAAAAGCAAAGCAAAACACAAAAATGCATTATGAATTTTTTTCCTACAGCACTCAGAAGATCTTGAGGCAGGGAATTGGCTTTGAACACAAGTTCAAAGCCTGTCTGGGCTACAAACCAAGATTTTGTCTTAAAAAAAGAAAACAGGTTTTGTTTCTTCAGATAAACCCCATTACAAAGCAAAGCACATTATGTTTTCTGTCAGTGTGTGTTGGTTTTACTTACCCGGACTGTATAATGGATTGTGTTCTGTTTTTCATATTGAGAAACCACTAAGGTAAAGGTATGGGTCCCAGGTGTAGTCAGCTTTATCTTAGTCAAATAATGAGGGCTATTAATTCGAATTCCATCAATGTATGGAGGTGGGTCAGCTGCAGACAGATAAGCAGACAAGTAGAAAAGATTTTTTGTTTCCTTAGCTGTTGAGATTTTAGGGTTGATAGTAATTAACAGAACTTGGTCTTTACAACATTGGTGAATTACATCACTTTACAACTTTCTAACAAAAAGTAACTGGGGGATGAACTCAGTGCCTCTGCTCACGAGTAATATTCTACCACTGGAGCCAAACCTCCAGTCTGGCATTTTAGAGACAGAGTCTTGAAGCTTTCTTTATCAGCTGACTTCAAATCAAAATCCACCAAGTCTCAGCCTCCTGAGTTGTTAGGATTACAGGCATGAACCCACCAGCACACCTCATTAGATTATTCCTTTTAACCATCTGTATAATATGAATATGGCACATTTTATCTATGCCTCCAACTTGTAATTCAGATTGCTTCAGATTTTTGTTGTTAATAATGGTACCTACCTGATACATTCTGTGGTGGTCTTATCAGTCAAGCCTGATAAAGTCAGAGATGTCAATTACTATGTTATACAAGATAAATACTTCATCTGGGAATGAATGAATATGATCTACCCCTAAAACATTTTAATATTCCAAACAAGTATGAGGTGATATGATCTAGTAATTAGAGTAAAAGAATGGGGATATTTGTGGTCTTAAGCAAAGTTTTATGTATCAATTTATTCTTGTGAATGAGGAACAACAAGATCTGCCTTATTTAATATTCTGATAGAAATAAAACTAAACCTAAAAATATTCTAGAAAAGAAAATCACTATACAAAACAGAAGTGCTTTTAACAATCTTAAAAAGTAACAATATATAGAATAATATATCTGAAATTTAAGAGCTATATATTCTAGATAGGCATTGGTGGTTCACACTTATACTCCTAGCCTCTTCAGGAGACTGCAAATAGGAGGATCAAGACAGAGAAGGAAAGGCCTTAAAAGACTTCATCTTAACAAAAGATTCTGCATGACTCAGTGGTAGAACACATACCTAACAAGTGTGAGGCTCCAACTTCAAACCCCAATACCACAAAACAAAAACAAACCAATACAACATTATTGGCCTATACAAAAATTTTTGTTTTATAATGTCCAACACAGGAAAAAAATTCCACATATCATCTACATAAAATGTTATTCTCAATCATGTAAATATGTATTGTAACATGTATTTGGCTAGTAAACATACCTGGGTAATAAACTTTTTTGCCATCAGTCTTGTATACAACCATTGTGATAAATTCTCGGTTATTTGCAAAATCATCCTAATAATCACAAAGAATTCAATCTGGTTAGGAAAATGAGCTTGAAATTCTCTCAGTGTTAAAAATGAGTTATTCGACGAAAAGTTTTCTGTGTATAAATGTCACTTCAGTAAATGATCATGCTGTATGAAGTTATTACATAAAATTCTGAGGTATCACTATCAGGAGCATAACTTTTTTCTTATAATGATTTCACATATCCAGATCTCTTTCAATGGATTTTAGTGTTAATAAAATCCTCACTGAAAAGTATAAACTCCTTTACGTTTTTCTTCAGAGACAATTTTTGAACAAGATTTTTTTTTTTTTTTTTTTTTGGTCGGTCGTGGGGCTTGAACTCTGGGCCTGGGCGCTGTCCCTCAGCTCTTCAGCTCAAGGCGAGCGCTCTACCACTTGAGCTACAGCGCCACTTCCGGTTTTCTGGTGGTTTATTGGAGATAGGAGTCTCACGGTCTCTCCTGCCCGGGCTGGCTTTGAACCGCGGTCCTCAGATCTCAGCCTCCTGAGTAGCTAGGATTACAGGCGTGAGCCACCAGCGCCCGGCTTCTGAACAAGATTTTTTAAAGTGCCATTATAAAAAGATACAAAATTCCTTAAATTAAGGAAAATACTTATTTATCTGAAAAAAAAAATCATTTTCAGGGCAACCTATAAAATGAAACAGGCTTGTGACCAAATTATGGATTTTAAGTCCACCTTTTAAACTGTGTAAGTGTCGTAAGAACAGAAGATAGCAGTACCTTGTCTGTTATGTGTCTACTAAGCAAAACCCAAACAGCAGCGCCCCCTTGTGGACACTGCACCTCCAGTTTATACTGGGGGTTGTTGGCCAGGCTATAGGCATCTTTCACAGGTCCTTGCTTAGCATCCCAAGTACTAAAAGATAAAGTAAACAAAGAAGGTAATGATTAAATTTCTCATAGAGCTAAAAATGTAACACTACTTTAAAAGTGGTGTGTGTCTCATACATTTAAGCTATTAGGAATGTTGGTTTTGTTTGTTCTTTTCAAATACTTTTCAAATACAAAAAAACAGAGCTAATACAAGATAATCATCTGTAGGCAAGACAAACAGGAAATGTTAGTAATTCTAAATGATCCATTATATTTTAAATTAAGAATAAAACGGAAAGGGTAGTGTTTGCTTGTAAGCCCAGCTACGCAGGAGATGAAGCTCAGAAGGATTATGATTCAAATGTCAGCCCAGTTAAAAGTTAGCAAGACACCACTGCAACTAACAAGCAAGGAATGGTAGTATATATGCCTGCAATATAAGCTATGCTGCAAGCAAAAAAGAATTTTTGTCTGAGGCCAGCCTTGGGCAAAAACTGCCAGTCTTCCTGAAAAATAAAGCATAAAAGGGCTAAGGTGTAAAGGGGGTGTGGCTCAAGTGATAGAGCATTGCCTAGAAAGTATAAGGTCCTGAGTTTAAACCCCAGTACTGAATGAATAGAAGAAACACACACACGCGCACACACACACACACACACACACGCACGCACGCACACACACACACGGAGCATAAAACTGAAATAAAACAAATTCATGAAAAGTTACCTGTGAATACATGTTGATTCTTTAAAAAGACCAGGATTCCAACTCAAATAAATAACATCATAATACTGACAGAGATCATCCCAGGAAATCCAAAATATTCCTGAAAATTAATGTCTTTGTTAAAAAGAAATCTTAATGACTTAAAATGACAAGTCAGGCCTTGTATTCATATACTGTTTTGTACAATGGGAACTTCTTTGTACAATTACTTAAAGATAATAATAAAAAAAAGTTAATAAAAAAACAAATTATCAAACAGCTTTCCAAATATTCACTCTTGACACTGATAGAGCACAATTTTTGTTTGTAAACAATATTGTATATGGCCTATGGTTTCTTAGTTATCCATTTGTAAATCATGTGGTTAATTCACTTGATTAAAGAAATTATCAAAATATTTTTAAAGTTTACTAATTCAAAAATAAAGTTTTCAAATAAAATAAATGACAAGTTAATTACATACCCTCTTGTTAAAACATGCTATTTGACATGCAAATAGTATCAAAATTAAAAAGATTTTTACCATTATCTATTTTCTGAGCTGTTCGAGGATCAAAGTTTAGATACTTTTGCAATTCTGGAGTCCAGTTTTTTATATCATTTTCACTATATCTTCCTTTCCAACGTAAATGGCTCCAAGGATTTTTCAACTGGATAAATCTCAAGCCCTGTTTTAAAAAGCAAGATAACATTAAGTTGCAAAATAGGCTTACCTGATTATTATATAATTCTTTATTGGGATACTTCTTAGCTCTTTTCCTTCAAATTAACATCTTAACACTTTCACTAGATCATATATTGAACAAAAACCATAAATGGTTGTTTCCTCTTTAGAGCTGTAGTCAGTCACAAGGCACACACAGTTAAACATTCAATGCTCACATGTAGGTAGAGGCTGATGCACAGAGTATACACACAAAAAAATCACAGAAAATCCCATTGGACATTACTGCTGGAGAGCATCAAGTATCTCTTGCCTTTTCAAAGCTCTTTCTACTTTGGTTTCATCTTATTTTCCAGTCATTTTTATTCTAATGTAGTCTTTGTTCTCTCAATCCCATAAATCATCTTGATTTTGTCTTGAAAGGAATTAGCTAACATGGCTCTCTCCTTTACTGAAGGCCTTAACTAATCCCCCTTTCTCTCAGTGAAGACTGAAGTAATGAAAAAACATGATTATCAAACAAGGAGTCCGAATGAGGTCAAATGATCCGTTTATTTAAATACAGGAGGTAACAAATGCACATGATCAAATAATGAATTTCCCTTCACTTTTTATTTTGTGCCATTATTAGCACTCAGGGCCTGAATGCTGTCCTTAGCTTTTCCCTCAAGGTTGAACCACTTGCTCTACCTCTTGAACCACCATACCTAAACTTCTGACCTTCTGGTGGTTAATTGCAGATAAATAGTCTCACAGGCTGGGTGCCAGTGGCTCACACCTGTAATCTTAGCTACTCAGGAGGCTGAGAGCTGAGGATCACGGTTCCAAGCCAGCCTGGGCAGGAAAGTCAATGAGACTCTTATTTCCAATTAACCACCAGAAAAACAGAAGTGGCACTGTGGCTCAAGTGGTAGAGTACTTGCCTTGAGCTGAAGAGCTTAGAGACAGCGCCTAGGCCAAGAATTCAAGCCCCATGACTGAAAAAAAAATTCACAGACTTTCCTGCAAGGCTGGCTTTCAACTGCAAGCCTCAGCCTCCTGAGTAGCTAGAGTGATAGGCATGAGTCACTAGTGCCAGGTGCTCCTTTCCTTTTTTTTTTTTTTTTTTTTTGGGGGGGGGGTCCAGTCGTGGGGCCTGAACTCTGGGCCTGGGCGCTGTCCCTCAGCACTTCAGCTCAAGACTAGCACTCTACTCTTGAGCCACAGCACCACTTCCAGCTTTTTTTCTTTTTGCTTATGTGGTGCTGAGGAATCGAAGCCAGGGCCTCAGGCATGCAAGGCAAGCGCTCTACCACTGAGACACCTTCCCAGCCCTCCTCTCCTTTTAATTAGAATCTCTCCTCTAAATCTTACAGTGCTGAGAAGCTGTGTTACATTCAAACAATATCCTATTCTTTGTTGTTATCTATTTATACAAATACACAGACTGGCCAGAGTTTAAAGAAAGAAAAAAAAATACACGAGACGGTCTTCTCAATGAGATACTAAACTTGCAATGGTGATGGTACATATCTTTTTTAGAAGTGCTACTGAAACCACGAAGATTATAGTAAATGCTCCATAAAAGCTGAATTTGTCTATAGAACTGATTATACTGATTCATAAAATTAAAAGCTGGCAGTTACAAGATCATCTGTCTTCAAATAGTTCCTTTAGGAAATCAATTATTTTTTCTAAATCAAACTGGTCAGGGATATTTGAAAATCCTTTGCTATTTTTTTCTTTTTTGCTTTTGACTTTACTGGGGTCTGAACTCAGGGTCTCATGCTTAATAAGCAGGCATGCTAGCATTTAAAGCCATATCCCTAGACCTTTTTGATTTTTTTGTGTGTGTGCCAGTCCTAGGGCTTGAACTCAGAGCCTGGACACTGTCCGTGAACTTTTTTGCTCAAGGATACTGAGCTACAGCTCTACTTCCAGCTTTTTAGTAGAAAATAAATAGCAGATGGCACTGTTTGGTACCATGGGTGTTTTGGGGTTTTTTTCCTTCAAGACAAAGTCTCACCATGTAGTTCAGTCCTTGAACTCTAGGTTCTCTTGCCTCTGCCTTCTATGTACTGGGATTTTGTGTTTTCTTTTGCTGTGATGCTAGTAAAAACAAACCTATGGTACTGCCAACCATATAAAAGCATAACATACTATGGAAGTATGATGCAATGTTGAGACAGTTGCAGCCTCATACATCTCCTGTTCATCCACCTCTCTCTTGACTAAACCATTTTCTCTTGTATTTAATTTTATGTGTTTATGTGGTATTCAGCCTGGCTCCAATAAGGAGACAGACACACGAATGGACACATAAATACACACACACACACACACCATAGCCTAGGTATGTAGACTAACAACAAAATTTGACTAACAAACATCACTCACAGGCAATTTCTTGGATTGTATTTCATGGTTAAATGAACCATGGTTACACATACAAGGTCTAACATACAGGGGGTCTTCTGTTGTTGCTATCACTATTTCTTTCTGTGATTTCAATTATTGGAATCCAAATGAGAAAAATAAGAGGAAAAAATATCTAAGGCCTAACCTTGAATTCTCTTATATCCAAAACAGCATATGCATGTGTGGGAACCAGGCCCCACTTTTCTCCTTCAGCTTCAGTCATCATTCCAGTGGATGCAGTGATGAGGACGTCCCCTTTGTGAAATCTGGAATGACCCCAAAAGACAGGAAATTAAAGAAAAACACATTTAAAATTTCAGAGCACATATTTCTTTTTAATGATTCACATAAAATTTTGTATAAATTTGAAATCTTTTCAAAAATGGACTATTCCTAACGTCGTAACCACACTTCAATGAAGTATTTTAATTCACAACTTATCTGAGATTAAGCCTGTTTCTTTTTTTAACCATCGTAATAACTCACGCAGAAACTTATCATGCAGAAACTTATCATGCAGAAAACTATCAAGTGAAGAAAAGCAAATGCTAAAATGTTATTTTACACATAAGCATAAAGATATAGAATACTAGATGCACTTCCTAAAAGGAGATATCATTTATTGATCAAATCATTGTGTTCCCTAGTTCTGCTACTTAATGTGTTATTATTGTTTGGATAACTCCAATATTGTCTGGATACTGTTTGATATTGTTTGGATAATTCCAGTTTCTTTATATGGATTATCCAGATGAATCTTAAATTCGCAGACTCTTTTCCCACCATATCTCAAAATTGGCTAAGGACTTAATAAGTACAAAATAATTTTTTCACATTACATATTCCAGATTTATTTCAGATAATCTACATATTAGATTAATTGTAATTATAACACTATAAACATAACTAACGGCTGACTGTATTTTAAAAATAATTTCCCTGATAAATAAAAGTGACAGCTTCTGCCAGGAATGGCACAGGCTTGAAATTCTAGCACTAGGGAGGCTAAAGCAGGCATATTGTCTTTGAAGTCAACCTGGGCTACATAGTGAGATTCCGTCTCAAAAAACTAAAACAGAAAGTGAGTTTTACAATCTCTATCCTAAATGAAGTATGATGCTTTTACATAGCTCCTTTAGTACCAAAACAGAAAAAAACAAAAAACAACAACAAAAAAATCAGCCAGGTGCTGGTGGCTCACAATTATAATCCTAGCTACTTAGGAGGCTGAGATCTGAAGATCTCAATTTGAAGCCAGCCCAGGCAGCAAAGTCTGTGAGACTATTATCTTCAATAAATTACTTAGAAAAATCGAGAAGTGGCTCTGTGACTCAAGAAGTAGAGCGCTAGCCTTGAGCACAAAAAAGCTCAGGGATAGTGCCTAAGCCCTAAATTCAAGCCCCAGAACTAGTAAAAAAAAAAAAAAAAAAAAAAAAAAATCACCTTTGATAAAGCATTCGGAAGGAATTATCCTTACTGAAAGTCTGGCTATCTGAATGCATAGCAATCCTTTCTGGAATCCACCCAGTCAAAGCATGAAGATCAATATTCTGAAATATAAACACATTTTGTTAACATTATTCTCAATCTATTAAACCCTTAGGGTAGCTGTTAAATCTCACTGATTTGCTATCATAATTTTGATAAGGGTAAATCAGAAGATAAGGATATTTCTCTTTTTCCTTAATATAGAAGAATTGTTTCATAAAAAGTATTTTTTAAAAACACTCAAAACAAATACAAAAACTGCTATGATGATGCTGGTCACTTCCCACTTAATAAGTTCTTACAATGAGAATACCTTTAACATTCTGACATGAATCCCCATTCTTCTAAGATACACTGAGTAAATTAAAAGGCAATGGATTATGAAAGCACTACAAGTATTTGAATGATAAAATAGAACAATTGAATGTGCAGGCTGGGAAGACAAACAGTCAAAATCATACTGTGTTTAAAATTATGATTTTATACTTTTTTTTTTTTTTTTCTGGTCGTGGGTCTTGAACTCTGGGCCTGGGTGCTGTCCCTGAGCACTGCAGCTAGCACTCTACCACTTGAGCCATAGTGCCACTTTCAGTTTTTTGGTGGTTAATTGGAGATAAGAGCCTCACAGACATTCCTACCTCAGTTGGCTTTGAACCATGATAGCCTGAGCTCTCAGCCTCCTAAATAGATAGGATTATAAATGTGAGCCACGGTGCCCAGATTATTTTATACTCTTTCCTAACATTTTAAAATCCTGGAGTGCAGAAAAGCTCAGGATTAGGAAGGGAGACTAATCAGGGATGACTGATGGGTGATTCACATGGTCCACATATTGTTTACAACCCGAGAGATGGCTATTATACGATACACACACAAAGACGCTAAGAAAGATAAAGCCAAGGCTGGTTAAGTGTCCACATTGAAAGTCATATCAATCTAATTTCTGTCTTAAAGTCTGATACTTTATTTCATGCATCAAAGAGACATTAGTAATAGCTCAGTTTTACAAGTTAAGGGTGGAGAAAACTCCTTGTACCAGAACTTACATATCAAAATATAAAGGCTTCATATGACACCTCTCTTTAATCTGAAACTGTATATGCTATAATTGGCCCTATATCTCAACATTACAGCAAACACTATACACTTCAGGCTTTTCTGGAATCTACAAATGTGCTAGCCTCACATAAGAAAATGCATACCCCCATAATACCAACATTTTCTGGGATCGTGTTTTCTTTCCCCATGAATAAAAGAAGTTTAAATATAATCTTATTAGATAATATAAATCCATGTCTGGCGCATACCATCTTGTACTTACTGAGTTGGATCCTGGGAAATCATATCCTCCCATAACTTTCATGTATGCTTTTTCTATGAGAGACACCCATAATTCACTTTTATTGTTGGAATAAGAACACAGCAGTTCACCCTTATGATCAACAGGTAACTGGTCATCAATTATCACCTGGAGAAAGAGAACATTAACTTTCTTAAAGAAGACAAAATATTTTAAAATCTTCTCCCTCTCTCATATGCATATATATATACATATATATGTGTTTGTGTATATATACGTGCATATATGTGCATGCATATATGTATATATACACATATGTATATGTATGTATATATGTAAATATACACACAGACACATATATATATATGTATTTGTATAAATATATTAGTGGTTCTAGAGTTTGAACTCAGAGCTTCACACTTGCTAGGCATTTCTCCAATCCTCCTCTCAATATTAAAAAACAAACAACAACCAAAAAAATTCTTTCATACCAATAAAAGAGGGGCTGGGAAGTTGGCTCAGTGGTAGAGCGCTTGCCTTGCATGCCTGAGGCCCTGGGTTCAATTCCTCAGCACCACATAAGCAAATAGAAAAAAGCTGGAAGTGGTGCTGTGGCTCAAGTGGTAGAGCGCTAGCCTTGAGCTGAAGAGCTGAGGGACAGCGCCTAGGCCCAGAGTTCAGGCCCCATGACCGGACCCAAAAGCAAATAGAAATAGAAAAAAAGATACAATAGGCCTACTTTGATAGCATCATGTTTCTAGAAACTGATCAATTATAAACTGTTGGTCATTTTAATATGTGTTTATTCAGCTTTACAAGACAGTACCACTTAACAGGTTAAGTCACTATTTATAGGCATATAACTACCACCAAAGTTATTAGGGATTCTAGAACATACAGTGTATTTACAATAATTACCAAAGGCCCTCATTGCCAGATATGGTGGTTAATGCCTGGAATCTCAGGACATAGAAAGCTAAGACAAGAGGATTTCAAATTTCAGGACAGCCTGAATACATAGTAAGTTCTAGGCTAGCCTCACCTAGTGAGAGGGGGTTATTGCTATTAAACAATTGTACCATTGCCTGTCATTTTAGTTTAAAACTGTAAAAAAGCACCGGGTGCCAGTGGCTCACGCCTGTATCCTAGCTACTCAGGAGGCTGAGATTTGAGGATTGTGGCTCAAAGCCAACCGGGCAAGAACATCCATGAGACTCTTATCTCCAATAAACCATTCAGAAAAGCAGAAGTGGCACTATGGCTCAAATGGTAGAGAGCTAGCCTTGAGCTGAAGAGCTCAGGGACAACACCCAGGCCCAGAGTTCAAGCCCCAGGACCTGCACCAAAACAAAAAAAGAAAAAAAAAGTTTAAACTATGTATGTATTTCACAAAAAACTTTTCAAATGGTGACTGACACCTGTAATCCCAGCTAGTCTTAGGTACGGTAGTACAAGCGGCCTGGAGAAGAAAACCTGTGAAACTCTTATCTCTAATTAACCACCAAAAGTCAGAAATAAAGCTGTGGTTCAAGTGCCAGAGTGCCAGAGTTGAGCAGAAAAAGCTCGGTACTGTGACAGTGCCCCAGTACCAATAGAACACACACACATACACGCACACGCACACGCGCGCGCACACACACACACACACACACACACACACACACACGCAAAGGGGGGGGGCGGGAAGAATGCTTAAGTTTCTTACTATCTTCACTTGTCCACCAGTGGTAGATTTCCTTTTGTTTTTATTTTTTTTAATTAAAGAAGGGCTTCATTTTAACATTTTCATACACATATACACAATGTATCCTGATCACCTCACTGTTCCTAGCAAAAAACTGAGGTGCCAATCAAGGTAGTGAACAACTGTAATCCCAGCACCTAGGAGGCTGTGTCAGGAGGACTGAAAATTCAAGGCCATTCTAGGCTAGTAAGACTTTATCTCCAAAATAATAATAAAGAACTATCAGGCTAAAAATTTTTTTTTGGTGCAAATCATGAGTACTGAACTCAAGGCCTGGGCACTGCCCTTGAGCTTTGTGCTCGAGTCATAGCTACATTTCTGGATATTTTTGGTAGTTAAATTTTAAGCATTACTGAAAATTTGTACACATTTTCTCAGACCCATTAATAAAAAGACTTAAAGCTAGGTAAGATGACACAAACCTATAGTCCTAGATATTTGGGAGGATTACTTGACTACCCAGGAGTTCATGAAAGCCTGGGCAACACAGTGAAAACCAAACAACAACAAAAAATTCACTTTGTCATGAGTTTTATTTTTAAGTACTAACATATGGTGCTATTGGTAATAATATGTATATCACAGATTCAAAGTCAACTAAAATGACAATGTTTAGAGAGATAATATTAATGGTTCTACTCAAGTCTCAAAAATGGGAATGGGAAGAGAGAAGGTCCGGGGAGAGAGGGAGAGACATTATTCACCTTTCTTGGGACACCATTGAGGTGGAGTTTTACCATATACTTTCCGCATGGATTGTACTCTGGTTCACCATCCTTATTTTGAGGGTAAATTATGCTTTAGGTAAGAAAAATAAATATTGAAATATTAACATTAATATTCAATATCAAGTACTATACCAGATTTCACACTTTAAACATATGCCACTCATTTAGATATACTATTGTCTTTGAAGTTTTATAAAAATAAATGTATCTCCTACAGTAAATCTGAAAAAGAGCTTAATCCTAAAGTACTTATTTACTTTATAATAAATAAAGTTTTGTGTTTTTTAAATTGCTTTGAGACAGTTTCTCTATGTGAACCAGGCTTGGCTGAAACTCACTATTTAGCCCAAGTTAGCCTCAAATTCATGCTCCTCCTGCCTCAGCCTTCCAAGTGCTGGAATTATAGGTACATACCCACCCACTCTCAGCTTAAGAAAGTATGTTATATCATCATAAAATAGAGTGTAAGTTTCATAATATTCTGAAAAGTGCTCAAGTTTTAGCTATATACTTCAATAAGTCAACTAAGTGGCTATATTTTATACCAGTTTATTTATCATTGACTCCAAAAGTAAAGTGTTCATTTCAATTAATTACAATTATGCACTAAGTACAACTCTATAAGGCACTAGAATTACACAATAAGATATTTGAATAACTGTCAGGGACAATTTTCTCTCTTGCTTTTTTTTTTTTTTCTGTTAGTCATGGGGCTTGAACTCAGGGGCTGGGCCCTGATCCTGAGCTCTTTTTCAAGGCTAGCATTCCACACATTGAGCCACAGGGATACTTCTGGTTTTCTGATGGTTAACTGGAGCTAGGAGTGTCATGGACTTTCCTGCCTGGGGTGGCTTTAAGCTGCAATCCTCAGATCTCAGCCTTCTGAGTAGCTAGGATTACAGGCTTGAGCCACCAGTGCCTGGCGACAATTTTTGGACCAATCAAACATACTGCAATTTATTTATATGGCAAATAACAACTTAATGACTGTTGAATTCATCTTTGTACTTATGACTTAACAAAAATTCAATTAAGAAAAGCTGAATGTAAAAAATAATGCTTAATAATTTTAACACTGAATGGTTTTAATATACATTTAAAAACTGAACAAGAGCCAGGCAGACCTGGTGGTTCATGCCTGTGGTGAAATCCACTCAGAAGGTAAAATCCAGGAATTGTGGTTTGAGCTCAGCCCAGGCAAAAAGACCCCCAATTAATGTAGACCCGGTGCTTTACACCTGTGACCACAACTATGGAGAAGTCCATAGGTAAGAGGATCGCAGTCCCAGGCTAGCCCTAGGCAAAAATCCTACCTGATAAATAAAGCATAAAGAAGCATGGCTTACGTTGTACAGTGCCTGCCTAGCAAGCAATAGACCCTGAGTTTAAGCCCCAGTACTGACACAAAAAACAAAAAAGTATTTCAGAAATACTTCCCTAATTTCTAGCAAAGTTCTAGCCAATGGAAATATGTTATTTTATATTTTCCAATAGCAATAAAAGTTAAAGTAAAAGGTAAAACCAAATTTAATTTTTTTTTAATTTTTATTTTTTGTGTGTGTATGCCAAGTACAGGGCCTGGGTACTTGCTGTCCTCAGCTTTTTTGCTCAAGGCTAGCATTGTACCACTTGAGCCAAAGCCACTTTCAGCTTTTGGTGGTTAATTTGAGGTATGAGTCTCATAGACTTCTCTGCTTAGGATGTCTTTAAACTACAATCCTCAGATCTCAGCCTCTTGAGTAGCTATGATTACAGGAGTGAGCCACCAGTATCTGGCAAAACAGTATTTTGTTTAGTCCAATATATTATGATTTCAACATGCAACCAACATTTTCCAATGTTACATTTTTTGTCCTATGTTTTCAAAATCTTACATACATTTTATTTGCAGGCTATTTTACTTTTTACAAATTAAGCTATTTCAATTCCCCAATAGCTACAGGTGTTCAGAAGCTACCTTTCTGTAGAATTTTGCAAGTATTATAAACATAACAGTTTATTTTGATTCATTTATTTCAAAGCATTTATCCTATATATTTTATGTAACTATATACACGTGCACCCTGACTACTTCAGCATTATCTTTCCACATTCACAAAACGTCTGCCTCATCTCTACAGAAAAGCCATATATTCTAGTAATATGCTCTCTCTGCCTGCTAAGTCTTAATTTCTAAGCAATTATGAAAAGAGCTAACAGAACAAAGTATTACCTGGTAATCAATTTTTTATTGAATCGCCTCTCATAAGCCGCACTGATGGCCAATGATGCCACAAAGGAACAATCCGATACTATTGTCTGTTAATAAGAGCAAGTATTAATATATTCCTTCATGTGTTTTCAACATTTCAGCACAGGACTTACATTCTGCACCTACCACCTGACTTTTTATAGAAAATACCTTAATTGTTTGAATAGCCAAATTAGAAACACCATTCTGCTGACTCATTTTATTCAAACTAATCCTAGAAAAATGAATGAAGTATTTCAATAAAGCTAATTTAGAATGATTTTGTAATCATTATTAAAGGTGAAATTCAGACTTTCAAGTTTCTAATCTACAAACACAAAACTAATTACTCTCCTATTACATAATTATTTCAGTGTGTAAGTCAAAATGTATAGAATAAGCTAGGCATGGTAGCATGACAGCTGTAATCCCAGCTAAGGCTGGAGGCTAAGGCAGAAGGATTACAGTTTGGGGCCAGCTTGGATTAAAAATTCAAAACTCTGTCTAAAAAAAAAAAGATGAATATGTTCAAAGTAGACTGTTTGCATGTATAAAAATAGAAGAGTGATAAAGAGGTGATAATTTTTAGAATACATTGTAAACATGCAGAAAATTGTTATGATGAAATCTCCCTTGTGAAACTAATTTTGACATGCAAAATGAGCAATCTTGCCATTACACTCATGCATATGAACATATAAAATCTAAGGAAAAACTCAAACTCATTTTCAAATATAGAAAATTATACAAAATGAATGTTACCTGCTTTATGCTAAAACTGGACACAGTGTATATCATTGTAGGATTGTTGGTAAGATCTTCTGGTCGAACCCATTTGGAAAATGTAGTTTTTTGTTTTGGTGACAATGGTAGCTTGCCCAATCTATCACTAAGATAATAAAATTAAAATAATAAGATTAATAATAAACAACTACTCAAAGTCAAAATGACATTTGCTAGAGATGGCTTTTTCTTTTTTTAGAGATCACATAACTATCTTTAATATATTCCTAAAATAACTCTATGGTCAAATCTGGCTCATTACACTTAACCTTGAACCCAGAGTTAAACTCAACATCCCTCCCAATTAAAGCAATATACATATATACAGATAACTGAAGACAGAAACAAACGTAAATTCAGCATATACTATGAAAGTTTGAATTAGCATGGTTATGTTCAAGAAATTCTGCAATAGAGTTAGTCACAGAGTTAGATGGCACACAACTATAATCCTAGCTACATGAAAGGAGGAGGAAGGAAGATCTTAGTCTAGGACGCTGTCTGAAAAACAAACTATAAGCAAAAGGACTGGGTTATGGTTTCACTGGTTAGACTTGCTTAGCAGCTGGAGAACCTCAGCAGTGAAATCAGGTATTAACGACAGTACAAGCTGATTCATTCAGAATGACCAGGAAGCTTCTTGGCTCTTATACTCTGAAAGGCTATTCAAAGTGGCTAATTTGCTAAATAGTAACCAACCATATGTCAGACATCAAGCTAAAGTCCTTTATATATTATCTACTTTATCCCCCAAAGCAACTCTATTAATCTGCCTTTCCCCTAAATCCTTTCTAGAGTAAAGGCAACACTCCTTGGAATCACAAAGATTTTTGGATAATACAAGAAATATGACATTAAAGCTAAAATAATATATCATAACATTTTTTAAGGAATTCTGATAAGCATTAGGAGGAAGAGGATCTTTCACTCAATTAATCTGCAAAGTTCCAGCTGAAGTATTTGTTTCTGCAATGCAAAATACCTCTAGATTTTCACTTTGTTTTCTCTTTTTCTTTCTTTTTTAATATGTATGTGCTGGAACCAGGGCTTGAACTCAGTGCCTTGCACTCTTGCTTGGCTTTTTTTTTTTTTTTTTTTTTTGCTCAAGGTTGGCATTCTACCACTTGAGCCACACCTCCATTTCCTATCTTCCAAACTTAATAAACAAACATTGGTGGCCAAGTCTCTGAATAAAAAATGCAGCCTGTAACATAACATTTCTCAACTTTTTTTTTTTTTCTGGGTACGGTTGTGGGGCCTGAACTCTGGGCCTGGGCACTGTCCCTCAGCTCTTCAGCTCAAGGCTAGCACTCTACCACTTGAGCCACAGTGCCACTTCCAGCTTTTTTTTCTCTGCTTATGTAGTGCTGAGGAATCGAACCCAGGGCCTCATGCATGCAAGGCAAGCGCTCTACCACTGAGCCACTTTCCCAGCCCCTCGACTTTTTTTTGATGAGTCTCACTGTGTAGCCCAAACTGGCCAAAACTTGTTATCTCCTTCTCCTCCTCCCACCTTCCTATCTTCCCCTCTCCCTTCCCCTACCCTACATAAAAAGCCTCTGAAGTGTGCTAGGACTAAAGACTTGTGCCTCTCAAACTTTTTTATTATTTTGGGGAAGCCCTGGGGTTTGAACTTAGGGTCTCAAACTTGCTAGGCTGGCACTCTATGATTCAACCCACTTCTGTATGACCTCACTTCTTTCCAACAGTTGTTGGAAATGTCAAACATTTCTTATAGTCATAGTTTTATTGAAAACTTTAATTTCAAGGATCTGAATTAAACTGAATTCAGAGTACTGAAAAAGTATAGAAAAAAATTATTCTAGAAATAAAAACAAGTATTTACTTACCAAAAAGGCATTGGATAAGCAAAACGTTCTCTCAGATCAACACTCATGAAAGGAACATACTCTATGCCATTTATTTTTGATGTTGTCCTATGAAACACAAGAAAAAAAAGCTTAATTGTTCAAATCAGCTTTAACTGTCAATCTTATTTAAACTCATTACATTTTTAAATGATCTAGTACTATACTAAAATTTAACTGACAACTTCCTGTTATTCATACCTTTATTGAGACAAATTTCCATAAAACAAATACCAGAAAAGAACTGCTGCAATTCAGAGTACTTTTTAAGACTAATATACTAGCCAGAGACAGTGGTTCCCACCTGTAATCCTAGCTACTTAGAAGGTGAGATCAGGAGGATCACCTGACGCAGATGACAAAGTCTTAGGACCCCTCACAAGTCACACAGCAGAAGCAACTGCTATTGTCACCCACACAGGAATGGAACTGCCCCTGAGAACACTCAGCACAGGTGCTATTAGAGGCAGCTGAGACATTAAAGGCAGCTGCTTCAGATGCCCAGCATCAAAGGAGGCTTGGGATTCCTTGCGGAGCATTCAGCAGAGACACAGCTCTGGTGGCCACTCATGCTCATGTCAGCAGAGACACCACTGGAGGGAGCCAAGGTTCTGTCTGTGGCATGGGTGTGGCAGTTGTCCAGGGCTCTATGTGCTGACCACCAAGTGGGACAGAACCCTTCCACCCTAACCTAAACCATGTGATTTCTACAGCCTCAGGTCTTCACACACATACACAAGAACAACTGAAAATTTATATTTTGTTTCATGTAAGTCTGTCTTTGATGTTGCTTTGGTGGTTTTGATTTTTTATTTATTCACTTATTTTTTTTGGGGGGGGGGAGGTCCAGTCGTGGGGCCTGAACTCTGGGCCTGGGCAATGTCCCTCAGCTCTTCAGCTCAAGGCTAGGGCTCTACCACTTGAGCCACAGCACCACCTCCAGCTTTTTTTTTTCCTGCTTATGTGGTGCTGAGGAATCGAACCCAGGGCCTCAGGCATGCAAGGCAAGCACTCTACCACTGAGCCACCTTCCCAGCCCTCACTTATTATTTTTAAAATATGTGATAAGAAAGGAGAAAAGAGAGGAGGGAGAAGAAAAAAGGGAAGAGAAAAAAGGAAGGAAAAGGAAGCTTTACGTCCAGCTTTTTAGAGGCTTGGAGATAAAGAGTCTCACAGACTTTCTTGTGTTGGCTGGCTTTGAACTGCAATTCTCAGATCTCAGCTTCCTAAGTAGCTAGGATTGCAGGTGTGAACTATCAGTGCCCAGCTGCCATTTACTTTTCTTTTGAGAGGGAGGGGAGTCAGTCATGATGGGGCTTGAAATCAAGGACTTGGTGCTATCCCTGAGCTCTTTTTTGCTCAAGGCTAGCGCAGTACCACTTTGACCCACAATGCCACTTCTGGTAGAAAATCCTGCCTTGGCTGGCTTCAAACCACAATTCTCAGATGTAGCTAGGATTACAAGCCTGAGCCATGGTCACCCTTAGTTCTACTTACTTCTCCCTTTTCTCAGAAATCATATCCAATCCAAAACATCTGCCTTTCAGCATTCAATTTTAAGTCAAATTTTGCCCCTTCGAGAGCCCTTCTCCATTTATATCTTCCTTCTATCTACAAGTAGAACTGCTCTGTCACTCAAATTTTCTAACTTGTTCCCCATCCCAATCCTTTCCATATCATCCTCACTTTTACCTGAAAACTAGATTGCCTGAACACCTTTTTGTTGTCTTGGTGTTTTTTTTTTTTGTGGATATTCATCTATTCAAGTCTCTTCACCCTTCCCTACACAAATACAATGCTAACTAGCTCTTTTCTACTTACTTCATATTCTACTTTCTCCTTAACATTACCCATCAAACTCAGCTCTGCCTCCTTTGTTTCCTATATAATTAATTCATTAGTATATACACAATATCTCCTTCCTATTACCACTCTGGTTAATAACTAAGGTCTTCCTAGATCACAAATATACATCTTTGTTGCTGTATTCATCTAAAAATATTGGAACAGTAATGGTGACTATAGTTCATTAGGGAATGCCACAAATAGAAGGTTGTGGTTTGTTAACTATAATAGCCTTTGCAATCAAGCTCCCTCACCTTGAGGAGAGCTCTATACAGTGACTTGAACACTGAAAAATTATTTGGCAACTGAGCCACATCTCTCCAAGTAATAGGGAAATAGACCACAGCCCAGCCATTATTCAGTTTTTAACTAATCTTCAAGAATTTACCAACTAAAAGGACCAGGAGATTGAAATGTCTACCAAACTTAGACCTAAATACATAAATGGAAAAAAAATCACTAAATTAATGAGTAAACAAGATAATCTGTCTCTCTCAAAAGCCAACTATTCTACAATAAAGGACTTAAAGTGTTAGTAAAAAAGAAATTTCACCCAAATCCAAAAAGGCAATGAAAAGAATGATCAATGAAATTAAAGAGGTAATGTACAAAGTTCTAAACAAATTCAGAGGACACAAACAACTACAGACTTCAAACAAACATCTGAATGAAATAAAGAAGAAATGCAGAAGAATGAAGGAAATGAAAGGTGTAGAAATCCTGAAATAAAGATCAAATAAACCAGGCATCAGTGGCTCACAACTAATGCTAGCTAGATATCTAATCTCTTCGTAAGCTAGACCTCAGGAAGCTGAGATGTATAGGATCAAAGTTCAAAGCCTGGGCAAAAAGTCCAAGAGACTCCATATTCAATTACCAGCAAAAAGTCAAGCTGAAGATATGACTCAAGTAGTAAGGTATCAGCCATGAGTAAGAAAGCTGAGCAAGCAGAAGACTTTGAGTTCAAACCAAAGTACTAGAAAAAATTAAAATTAAAAAAATAAAACCTCAATTGAAACCCCAGCTAATAGAACAAGTTGAAAATAGAGCATTAGGGATGGAAGAAAAAGCAGAAGAATGAGATCAAACAAAGACATTGAAAAAACACTAAGAAAATATTAACTGAATTTACAAGACCTGGACTTCATTAAAACATCATACCTACTAATCATGGGTATAGAAGAAGACAGACAATTAAAGACACTCTGAACAAATATATAATGATAGGAATATATGACATGTCTTAAAGGCCTTTCGCTATTAACATTCAATGTTCAGCCTCTCAACTCTCCAGCCAAAAGTCACAGAACAGCCATCTGGATTAAAAACCAGGATCCAACCATGTGTTGTTACAAAAAAAAACACTTCTAATTGACAAAAACAAATATAGGCTTAGGGCGAAAGGATAGAAAAGCAGGCAAGAGTACCCATATTTATAGCTATCTGATAAAACAGACTTCAAACTAAAATCAGTCCGAAGAGACAAAGAAGGTGTTTCACATTAATAAAGGAAAAAGCTGGGCACTAGTGGCTCACACCTGTAATTCTAGTTACGTAGGAGGCTGAGATCTGAGAGCTTCGGTTTGAAACCAGTCCAGGCAAAAAAGTCCTTGAGACTCTTATCTCCAATAAACTACTCAGAAAAAGCCAGAAATGATGCCATAGCTCAAGTGGCACAGCACTAGCCTTGAGCACAGAGACTCAGGGACAGTGCCCCAGGACAGGCATTAATTAACTAATTAATTAATTAAAGGAATACTCCATTAAGAAGAAATCACAATTGTTAACATATACAGACCAAACAGACCCTACTAGCCTATTGGGGAGGGTAATAATGGAAGACTTATAGGTCACTCAAACAAAAAAACATCAACAACCTCAGAGCTAAACCTTTGGGCTACACAGGTATGAAATTATTTGGTATATGACAGAACAGACATGCATGCTTCTTGTATGCTTCTTACTGGCTGCCTGAAGCCTTCTGCCTCTATTGATAATTTTGTATGACGTTATAAATATCTAAATGACCCTCAGCAAAAAAGGTTATCTATCTCTTGTCATAGAACATATGAACTGAATTAATATCTTCCGAGTATGTATTCCAGCATTAGCACATTGCTCTCAGCAGTCCATGGAACTCTGTCCATAACAGTCCATATTTTAGAACATAAAATTGGCACAACTTCTTGTACTCTACCAGACCATAACTGAATTAAACTAGAACTCAACAGCAAAAGATACTACAGTAAATATCCAAAAAAAAAATAAAGGCTGGACAATAAATTGTGGAATGACCAGTGGACATCTGAAGAAACAAAGGGTAAAAATCACAAAGTTTCCAGAATCTAGTGAAGATTAGTGAAAACTTAGAAAAAAAATGGATAAATTTCTGGATACAGTTTGCCTACCAAAACTGAACTAAGAGACTATAAGCCACCAAAACATATCTATCACAAGAAATGAAAGTGAAACAGTAAGTCTCCCAACAAAGAAAATACTAGAATTACAGATTCACTGCTAAATTTTACCAAACTTTTAGAGAAAAACTAACACCAATACTCCTCAAACTTCCATGAAATAGAAAGGGAAGGAATGCTACTGACCTTATTCTATAAAGCTAGTAGTATTACACTCATTTTATAATACTAGCTATTCAGCAGGCTGAGATCTAAAAGATCATGGTTCAAAGCCAGCCCAGGAAAAGTCCAAGAGATTCCATCTCCAAAATAAACAACAAAAAGCTGGGCTGGAGGAGTATCTTAAGTGAAGCACATCAGCTGCAGTAAGCCAAGGGCGAATCCTGGAGTTTACACCCTAGTACCAACAAAAAAAAGAAAGAAAGAAAGAAAGAAAGGGAGGGGGAGGGGAGGGAAGGGAAGGGACAAAGCAGAGGGAAGGGTAGGAGGGGAGGGAAGGAGGGAAGAAGCAAGGAAGGAAGGAAAAACTATTCATAACTCAAGACCTATTTATTTCAAGGTAACAATTTTTCCTCCTTTAGTGCTCTGGTTAAAACTGGCACTGATTATTAGTAGTCAGCCATATCTCTGTTATACTCTCTAACCATCAGGGTTCAATTTGGCACAATAATAGAATTTTCAGAAAAACACACTAGGTAGTGTGTCTAGTAAAAACTGCAAAATACTAAAATTATGAACCAACAAAACCCAAGGTTGCCTTCACTTGAGCTAGCCCCCAGCTCTTTTTGTTAATACTTTGTTTTTGAGACAGGGTCTTCTTAACATTGCCTAGGCTGACTTTGAACTCAAGATCATATTCCCGCTGCTTTCAAAGTAACAGCACCATTATATCTGACTGAAAACCAAAACATTTCAGGTAGTAAATTTAGTTGTAACTATATAAGATGTGATATATAATTATATAATAACAGCAAAACATGTTATAACAAGGTTTGAATACAATTTAGCAAACCTAATTAGAATAAAATTACCTGTACTGATTATGTTAACAAAATTCATTCCAAGTCATAAACGGATTTACCTGAGCACTTCTATTTCTTCTGCTGTGTATCTCTGTCCTTGTGCATCACATGACTGTGGACTTATAAATTGCTGAGGTTTCTCAAGGAAAGGATTAGATCCTAGAGGAAAATGTGTTCGCACTGGAGGTGGCTTTGTTTGAGTATTTGTTGACTTTATTTTGTAAAATGGCTTTGTCAAAGGTTCACTCAATGCTTCTGCTCTATAATACAAGTACAGAAAAACTATTTAAATTTTTCTACTCACATTTAAGATTTAAGGAAATAAAATTTACTTCAAAAATCAGTCAAGCATACCTAATGAAAATTAGCATATAAAATTTTTACATTCTTATCTAAATTTCACTACTTAAGCTACTACCAGAGATAGTAGCTTAAGTATTCTCTATAACATTATTCTCTATAACATTAATTGAACACCTAATGTGTATGTCAGATCTGATGTAAGTATAAGAGGTATAAAATCATTTCTGCTGCCAGACACTGATAGCTCACACCATAATCCTGGCTACTTAGGAGGCTGAGATCTGAGGATCATGGTTCAAAGCCAGCTTGGAATTGAAACTGTGGCTCAAAGTGGTGGGGCACTAGACTTGAGCAAAAAAGCTGAGGGACAGTTCCCTGAATCAAACCCCACAACCAAAGAAAAAAATCTGCCAATGGTTTTTTGTTTTGTTTTGTTTTTGCTGGTCTTGGGGCCTGAATTCTGGGCCTGGGCGCTGTCCCTCAGCTCTTCAGCTCAAGGCTAGCGCTCTACCACTTAAACTACAACGCCACTTCTGGTTTTCTGGAGATAATAGTTTCACGGACTTTCCTGCCCGGGCTGGCTTTGAACCGAGATCCTCAGATCTCAGCCTCCTGAGTAGCTACGATTACAGGCGTGAGCCACCAGCGCCTGGCTCTGCCAATGGTTTTCTCAGGGGAAAATAAAAACAGTGCTTCAAAATGATATAGATGCCAGGACAGAAGTATTACAATACAGATGAATGTACAACAGAAATACAGACTTAACGACTGGGAAAAAAAAAAGGGAGATTCAGGGAAGGCTGCTAAAAACTTAATGCCTGAGCCACATGCTCACCTAGGAAGTGGGCAAGCATCTTCAAATACAAAAAACAAGTATAAGGTGCATAGTACACAGGCTTAATTTCAAAAGAATGGATATGTGGACTGGAGTCATGGCTTGAGTGGTAGAGTACAGGAATGATCAGAAAGTTTATGCTCTGGTACCAGCACCAGGAATGAAGGAAGGGAAGAAGGAAGGGAGGGAGGAAGAGAATGAATGTAGCCCCTGGAAAAAAAAAATAAACAAGCAGCAGCTAAGTGACAAGGGAAATGTAGAAGTAGAATCATGAAAGGGAATTTTGACTGCTCTGTAAAAGAACAAAAAATGCAGCTTGGTGCTGGTAGTTTATGCCTTCCCAAGTAGCTACTCAGGAAGCTGAGATCTGAGGATCATGATTCCAGGCCAGCCCAGGAAAAAACGCTCTTCAAACTATTATCTCCAAGAAGTTACTCAGAAAAAAAGCCAGAAGTGGTGCTGTGGCAAGTGGTAAAGTGTTAGCTTGAACACAAAGAAGCTCAGGGACAGTTCCCAGACCCTTAGTTCAGGACTGGCAACAAAAAAAAGAACTAAAAAGCTACAATATACAGGTTCTTGAGACCCATCAATGAGCTCAGGGGTCATATGAACAAATGTTACATACTTTTTCCTGGAAAGCCAACCAGTAACACTCACCCCTTCGCTTCTGATGCACTCAGGAATACTGGATAGTTTATCAACACACATCATGACTGGTGAAAGAAGTCATGATGGAGAAGACAACGTGTCAAGTACATGTCTTCATGACTTTGGGGAAACAAACTAAAGGCTGATGATGGTGATGAAAAAAGAAATGACTATTACACTGCAATAGAAAAAGACCAGGGAGTTGTATAGCTATCTAGTCGGAACCTCAAAAAGGAGATAATTTTAATAATCCATGCTATAGATATAATTTCCATTTTCCCTTTATCTACAATAGTCTTTGAAGAAGAATTCTCTTAAACAAATCCATCCATTCTTTCCATAAACATACCCTTGAACACAAACATTAGGCATTCTGCTACAAACTTAGTAGAGCAACAAACAAAATCAGCAAAATGTGTTTTCACAGACCTTACATTTTGGAGAGAGAGGTTGAAAGTAATACAGCCTAATAACAAATACTAATCTGGTAAGTGCCATACACCTTCGGGAGTTGTATAAGAGAGATAGCAAAAAATATTAAATAAGATAAAAATGCTGTAAAAGACTCAGTTTTAAATAGAATGGTCTCACTGGCAAGTTGACATGAGCTCAAGATGAAAGAGATACACATAAGTATAATTTGGGGAATATGTGTAACTGGAAACAGAATCATTCTCAATCTTTACTTTTCCTCTCAGTAACTCTTGAAGGCTTTCTGAAAGTTCTCTTCTATGGTTGTTTTATTTTTCTGTGGTGCTGGGGATCAGAGCCTTCCTCATGGTAGGCAAGTACTTTTACCACTGAGCTACATTCATAACAAATCCTCCATCTTCCAATTCACGTATCATAGTCATTTTTTATATAGAGTAAAAATTAATAATACTTTGGGGCTATTTCTTACATTCAAAGCAAAGAACTAGAGAAGATATAAATTCACTCAGAAAATGGAAGATTTCTAAATCTTAGTTTAAAGATCTTCATCTTATTACTATAATCTCTACTACACATTAAAATAAATCTGTTAAATAATAACACAACACATATCACCCATAGAGTAAAATTAGAGTGACAAAACTCACCTGTCTAGTGCCTGTCGAGCCAACTGTTTCAGTTTGTTTTGCAGGGTTTTATCAGCAGTTTCATACGACTTAAAAGAAAGAAACATATTCTAAAGCATATTTATTGTTTTAATTTGCTTGATCCATGGCAATGATATGTAAAAGAAAATGTACCATGCATAGTATACTTCTTGAAATTACGAGTAAATTTTTTAAAAGATGACATTTTATCTTCAGCCTTAAAAGTTATCATCTAATGCTATGTAATATGTTTCATGTTTACAGTTTATGTGTTAAAACTATATCTGAAGATTATCACTTTAAAATTTAGTGTGGACAAGTGCTAAGTAGACCACAGCTATGCAACAACACTGCCATGGAAGACTGAGTGGCACGTCTCAGGAGCTAACATATGGTTTCAGGGACTTAGTGAAATCAGGCTACATAGTTTCTTTGAACAAAAGATCCTGCCCAAAAAAAACATTGTAAAAGGCACTGGAAGCATGATTTGCCATTTTACCTGATCTCCCCCTCAAATACAAGTACTATATGCCCCCTGAAGCATCTGAACCAAGGTTCTTCAGAGAGCAGGAAAAGCCACTCAGCATACCGACTTTACACTGCAAGACAATAAAGCTTCTCCTTTTTACTGTATAAAGTTTTATTTTTAAAGGGAGAGAAGTTTATTTTAAATTCATAGGTTATGGTGAATTTTTCCTGTAATCATTTTAGCTACTATGATATGAATAAGCTATCCAGGCACTGGTGGCTCACATCTCTAATCCTAGCTACTTAGGAGGTTGAAAATAAGAGGATCTCAGATGTAGGCCAGTGGGACAGAAAAGTACTTGAGACTATTTCCACAGAGTGAGCTTGATACAGTGGCACACAAGTGTGATTCCAGTAATGATAAGCAGTCATAGCTCAGGCACAGACTAATTCAGGAAGTGAAAGCTTATTCAAAAAATAACCAGTGAAAAATAGTGAGAGGCATGGCTCAGTGGTATCATGCTAAACTGGCAAACACGAGGCTAAATTCAAATGCCCAATACCTTCAAATTTAAAAAAAAAAAAAAATCAAAAGATAAACTGGATGCTGATAGCTCACACCAGTAATCCTAGCTACTCAGGAGCCTGAGATCTGAGGATCACGGCTCAAAGCCAGTACACATAGGAAAGTACATGAGACTCTTATCGCCAAAAAACTACCAAAAAAGCTGGAGGTGGAGCTGTAGCTCAAGTGGTAGAGAACTAGCCTTGAGTAAAAAAGAAGCTCAAGGATAGTGGCGAGGCCTTGAGTTCAAGCCTAAGGACTGAAAAGAAATAAATAAAAGCCTGAGCTCAAAACTAGTGCCTCTAATTAAAAAACAACTGGTAGTAACTCAGTTATAATAGTGATAAAAAAAAAAGTGTAAATCCCATTATTAACTTATCATCTTTTAGCGACGATTAACTTAATTATATGTCAGAACCATTTTTTCTTTATGGAGTTAATTAAAATTCATTAGAAAAGGAAGAAATTTCTTAACATAATTCACCAAGTTTAGCTTGTAACTATACATACTGTCTTCAAACAGAGGTCCACAGCTTCCGTATACAATTCTATAGCATCTTCAATGTTTTCTTTTTCATCTTCATCAAAAGCTTGTGTAACAAGGAAATGGGCACGCTCTAGGTCCAACTGATGTTTTGATTTCAAGGGATCAACACTCTTTGACTGAACTAAGAAATGGGGAGGGGGGGGAACAGCATATATTGAAGGAACATTAATTAAAATATAGCTATGGAACACTACCATTTTAATAGATTTAAGACATTCTTTATCTATTCTGGAGGCTGAGATCACAGTTCAAAGCTAGCCCAGGCATAAAAGTATAAAATTAACTTGTGAAAAGCCAGGCTGGAGGCATGGCTCAAGTGGCAGACTACCAGCTAAATAAATGTCAAGCTCTGAGTTCAAATTCCAGTAACAAGGGGGGGGGGCAGGGAGGCTGTACAATATATTAAAAAGAAATAATTTGCTGGGAGCTGGTATCTCCTGCCTATAATCCTAGCTACTCAAGAGGCTGAGATCTCAAAATCACAATTCAAAGGCAGAACAGATAAAAGTGTCTAGGAGACTCCATCCCTAATTAGTCAGCAAAATGTCATACAAGAGTCATGGCTCACATGGGAGAGCACCAACCATAAGCAAGCAAGCAAGCTGAACAAATGCTTGAGGCCCAGAGTTCAAGCCCAGTACCAGAACACAAAAAAAGGACTAATTTTCTCCTAGTCTTTTTAATCTTAATTTTAAGATAACCCCCCTCAAAACCCAAATGTCTATCACACAATAGACAACAGAGGTAAGGAATATTTAAAGGGTTTTATTACAATTATTTCTCCTTTGCCTCCTTACCAGCACCCTTTCATCCAAAGAATGCGCCTCATATCTCCCCCCCCAAAAAACTCCATTATATTTTAAGGTAATTTTTCCCATTCTAACAATAATTGTGTAATATACTAGGATCTGATGGTAAAGTTCCTTCTTTTCCTGTTAATCTGGGTCTAAAATAAACTATCATATTGTACGGATCTTTAAAATAAGTATTTCCATTTGTTTTTAGTTTATAATATTTGTAAGATGTATGTCACCAGAACATACAAAATTCTTGTAGAGCTGAACAATAACATTTCTCTACAGAAGATATTAAAATGGCCATCTGCAAATGAGAACATGCTCAATATTATCAGCCATCAAGCAAAGGCAAATCAAAACCACAATGGAATGAATGCTACCTTACACTCATTAGGATGGCTACAATAAAAAAAGATTGTAGCACAGGCCAAAGCTAGGGTGATGTACGTATCTGTAATCCCAGAACTCAGTAAACTAGGGCAGGAGGATCACAAATTTGAGGCCAGCCTTTGCTACACAGGCCATCTGGGCTACAAAATAAACAAACTAGCCAGGCACCAGTGGCTCACACCTGTAATCCTAGCTACTCAAGAGGCTAGTATCTGAGAATCGCAGTTTGAAGCCAGCCCAGGCAGGAAAGCCCCTGAGACTCTTATCTCCAGTAAGCTTCTCAGAAAAACCCAGAAGTGGTGCTGTGGCTCAAGTGGTAGAATACTAGCCTTGAGCACAAAAAGACAGCATCAAGGACAGCATCCAGGACCAGCAAAAAAAAGCTCAGGGACACTACCCAGGCCCCAAGTTCAAGCCCAGGACCAGCATAAATAAGCAAACTAATTAATTTTAGGAGCTTAAAAAAAAAAGAACCACAAATGTATACATAAATAAAACTATATAATTATATATCTAAAAACTGTATATATACACATATAGTATATACAGTATGTATATAATTATTTATCTAAAAACTATATATACACACATATATAGTACATATAGTATGTATACTATGTATACACACACACACACAGTGTCTAGTACTCACAAGGCCCTATGGTACAACAACAACAAAGAAAAAATGCGGGCAGGGAAGGTGGCTCAGTGGTAGAGTACTTTACTTGCATGCATGAGGCCCTGGGTTCGATTTCTCAGCACCACATAAGCAAAAAAAAAAAAAAAAAAAGTCAGAAGTAGCGCTGTGGCTCAAGTGCTAGAGCGTTAGCCATAAGCCGAAGAGCTGAGGGACAGCGCCCAGGCTCAGAGTTCAGGCCACACAACCAGACCCAAAAAAAAAAAAAAAAAACAAAATAAAACTCATTCACAATGTTGAAAAATAACATCCAATAGCCAAAATGTATGAAAAACTCAGCTACAAGAATGGAGCACTGATATATTCTACAATATTAAGTAAGCTTAATGAAAGAAGTCAGACCATGAGAGATTAGTCATATAGGATGATCACATTTGTATGAAATATAAAATATCCAGAAATACCCAGAACAGGCAAATTTATAAAGACAGAAAGTAGATTATAGTGGCTGTTGCTAGGAGTTAGGGGTTAGGAGCATAAAGTGACTACTAACAGTTAGGTTTCTTACAGGTCAACAAAAATGTTCTAAAGTTAGAACATGTAGAGAGCTATATTAAAAACCATTAAATTAAGGGCAGGGAATGTGGCTCAGTGGTAAAGTGCTTGCCTAGCATGCATGAGGCCCTAGGTTCGATTCCTTGATACCACATAAGATTAATAAAAGAAAAAGAATCATTAAAAAAAAAGTTTTAAAAAAAATAAAATAAAAACCACTAAATTATACATTTTCTCTCCCCCTCCCAGTACTCAAGTCTAACCTGAGGGCCTCAAGCTTACTCAGCTTATTAGGTTTGCTCAGTTGGTGCATTACCATTTTAGTCCCGCTTCCAGTTCATCATTTTACTGATTATTTTAGAGATAGAGTCTCACAAGACTTTTTCTACGTGGGCTTGCTTAAAACTGTAATCCTCCAGTTCTCAGCTTCCTGAGTAGCTAGGATTACAGTTGTGACCCACAGGTACCTGACTTGAATTACATACTTTAAAAGAGTGAATTTCTGTAAGTGAACTGTATCTCAATAAACCTGTTATTTAAAAAGAAATACTTCACATTCTATTCATTTCTAAAAAATACATGCTGATGTCTTAAAACTTTAATCATCATTACTATTCTGGCATGTGCTTAATCTCATTCATAAAATGAAGGCATCAAAATTTAAAAACATTAAAACAATCTAGACAGGGTTTCTCAGCATTGGTACTACTGATATTTGGCTGAATAATTCTTTCAGTGGAAGAATGTACCATGTATTGTAAAATTTTTAGCAATATTCCAGAACTCTTCTCAATTAGATACCAGTAGCATAATCCCCCTCCACCCAGAAATACGCAAACCAAAATTTCTCCAAACAATGCCATATGTCTTCTAGAGCAACCTGCTTTCTCATACTTTTATTTTCTATACTTTATTGAGGGCTTCCTGAGGGCTAATCTAGCACTACTACATACAAGTACTAGCTAAAACATTTACACAAGAAATGGTCATTCAAATAAAGGGAAATATGTCAGGTGCTGATGGCTCAGGCCTATAATTCTAGCTACTCAGGAGGCTGAGATCTGAGGAGTGCAGTTCAAAGCCAGCTGGGGCAGGAAAGTCTGTGAGACTCTTATCTCCAATTAACCACCAGAAAACTGGAACTGTGGTTCAAGTGGCAGAGTGCTCACCTTGAGCTGAAGCGCTCAGGGACAGCACCCAGGCCCAGAGTTCAAGACCTATGACTGACCAATAAATAAATAAATAAATAAATAAATGGAAATATATATTTTTTTCTGGGAGTAGGCATGAAAGATTACTTTCTATAGTTTAGAGATAATTTCATTTGAAACAGTTTATGAAACAAAGTGCACTATTTATGAAACAAAGCAGCTAAATTTAGGAACTTCGTTTAATTGGCTCACAAAACGAAGTTTCTTTGGATCACACAGTATTAATATTATTTTTTCAGTTTAGGGGATAGAACTAAGGTATCCAACAGCTCTACAACAGAGTTACACCTCCAACTCCCATACAGAATTCCAAAAAATTAGTATAACTTCATATCATAAGCAATCCACCTTTTAATTATATGTGCCATTTATGGTCAAGTAAGAGGACTGCTCTAACAGGGAATTAAAAGTAGATCAAATCTACTTTGTCCTAACTATATGCTTGTAACTGTTCATTCTGTTCAGAATGAGTGGAAAACAACAAAATCAACGAGTAAAGATTCTCCTGGACAGTCTTGATTGTGGCTTACTTTTCCAGCAAGAGGACACCCAAAAAAAAGAGGGTTAAAAGTCCCTACCACATACATTATTAATGCATTTCTAAAACAAAATGTCAATAGATGTTAATTCTTCCTTGAATGTAAACAGCAGACTGACAGAAACCTCTACCTAACAAAATTGTGATCAGTAAGTCTATGCATACCTCTCTCACAGCACTAGCCAAGCTGTTTGCAAAAATAAATACAGGCTATTACAGGTCTCTGTTTACATGTTTCTTTTCCAAGTCCTGGTTTTAAAAAAGGAGTCGAGCAAAGGTCTGGAAGTAGAAAACACTGAGAGAGATTGCATACCAACTGATGTTTTTATTTTTTGTTTGTTTTTGTCGGTTGTGGGGCTTGAACTCTGGGCTCTGGCACTGTCCCTGAGCTCTTCAGCTCAAGGCGAGAGCTCTACCACTTGAGCCACAGCGCCACTTCCAGTTTTCTGGTGGTTTATTGGAGATAAAGAGTCTCACAGCCTTTCTTGGCCAGCTGGCTTTGAACCGTGATCCTCAGATCTCAGCCTCCTGAGTAGCTAAGATTACAGGTGTGAGCCACTGGCACCCAGCTATGATGTCTTTAAACACTGAAAACAATTAGTCATTTGATTTTAATATCAGGAAAAGATAAATGTCAGATTTTTAAAAAGCTGACTCATAATGCAGTCCTCATCTTAAGTCTGCCAATGAGAAATTGTTTGATATGTCTCCACCTCTCGAAAATTAGGAAACTGGCTATTATAATCTCAAAGGTTCTTTTGAGCCGGGCACTGATGTCTCACACCTGTAATCCTAGCTACTTAGGAGCTGAGAGCTGAGGATCACAGTTCAGAGCCAGTTCGGGCAGGAAAGTCCATGAGACTCTTATCTCCAGTAAACCACTAGAAAAACGGAAGTGGCACGGTGGCTCAAGTGGTGTAGATCGCTTGCCTTGAGCTGAAGAGCGTAGGGACAGCGCCCAAGCCCCACAACCAACAACAACAACAAAAAAAAAAAAAAGTTTTTTTGATAGATCATTTGTTTCCATATTATTAATCTATGAATATTTCAGAGAAATAAACAGAGTAAGCATCAAGATCCACAGATGAAGAGGAAAGAGAAAAGATTTGAGGAGGAAAAGATTTGATGGGAGAGGAAGAAAAGTGACAAGTTTAGTAACTAACCTGCTGAATGTAAAGCTTGAACTCTTTCCTGATATTCATTTATTTTTTCTTGGATATGTTCTAGGCTTGATCCTGCCATCTCAGCATAAATCAAGGCTTGTGCAGCTTCCTAAAAAAAAAGAATTCAAAGGAAGTCAATGATACAATGATTTGAATTTTCATGACTACTCTAATTCACAACTGCTTTCCATGAATGACAAACCAAGAATACCCTTTAATATTATTTTTTTCTGCCACACATAGTGGTAGATACCTATAATATCAGCTACTCAGGAACCAGTGATCAAGACAGTCTAGGCAAAAGGTGCATGAGATTCCATCTCAACTAATTTTAATAAGCTGGTTAAGATGGTGCATACCTGTCATTCCAACTAAGCAGAAGGATAAATAGGCCAGCTGAAGCATAAATGTGAGACCTCATTTGAAAAATACCTAAAGCAAAAAGGTGTTGCTCAAATGATAGGACATCTGTCTAGCAAGGCCTTGACTTCAAACCCTAGTACTACCAAAAAGAAATAAATTACAAAGATTAAATATCTCACAATAAACTGAAAGTCTCCACAGAAATATGGTCAAAAGGTAACACATATTAAAGCAGATTTTACTATGAAAAAAATGCTTTTAATTAAGAAAACTTTGATTCTTCTTCCATTACTCCATAGCTTCCACTGCCAGTTTTATGGTATGGCTAGCAAAGAGGAGTTTCTATCTTCCCATCACCACTCCATGAAGATTACCAATGCTAACACCATGAAAGAGCAGTGAGATTCCCCAAGTGACACAGTACCTTCTTTGCAATACCCTAACCAGATTCGATACTCTATGAGGTCTCAAGCCTGTTTCTAAAGCAACTACCCACAGAGCATCACTTTTGTTGTTTTGTTTTGTCAGTCATCAGGCTTGATATCTGGGCCTGAGCGCTGTCCCTCAGCTCTTCAGCTCAAAGCTAGTGCTCTACCACTTGAGCCACAGCGCCACTTCCAGTTTGCTGGTGGTTTATTAGAGGTAAGAGTTTCACAACCTTTCCTGCCCAGGCTGCCTTTATAAACTATGATCCTCAGATCTCAGCCTCCTGATTAGCTAGGATTACAGACATTATGAGCCACCGGCGCCCAGCTTGAGCATCACTTTTTAAATCCAGTTATTTGAGCAGAAAGTCTTTTGCTGAACCTAACAAAATTAGTTTGGGTTTTTTTAAGTGCAGTTTTAACCCTGTTGGAACTTTAACCTTTATGTCTTTAGACTGTAAGATAGAAAACATATGATTCCCTCACTTTCCATAACTCAGATATTTCAAGTGTGAAAAATATACCTTGACATATAAGCATTATATGGTTTCATACAAATCAATATTATCTAAATACAGTATAGTTACACTTAACTTCAATAAACTGCATAGTTTATAAGGTATTATAAAATATCTATTACATGTAAGTATATTCCCCTTCCCAAATGTCATGTAGATTTTCAAAAGATAGACTTTGAAAATCTATCTTACTTTAAAATGAAGCTAGCTTTTAAAGCTGCTCCTATCAACTTTATTTTATTCATGTCAATTACATTCAAAAGTAACAAGAAACTGCTTGCTGGGCACCAGTGGCTCAAGCCTGTAATCCTAGCTACTCAGGAGGCTGAGGTCTGTGGATTTCAGTTCTAAGCCAACCTGGGACTCTTATCTCTAACCACTAGAACACTGAAGTAGAGCTGTGGCTCAAAGTGGTAGAGGGCTATCCTTTAGCAAAAAGGCTCAAGGACAGCACCAAGGCCCTGAGTTCAAGCCCCACAACTAATTAAATAAATATTGCTTTTAGAACAGCATCAAGGTAAAAAACATTAAACTGATAAAGTTTATATAATTTCTAGAAGTATGACTACTTTTATTTGTATCCAGTATTAAGGCTTGCACTCAGGGACTGAATTCTTGCTTAGTTTTTCACTCAAGGCTGACAGAATATTCTACCACATGAGTCACACCTCCACAGCCTCTTTTTCTGCAGCAGCTGGCTTTGAACTACGATCCTCAGACCTTCATCTCTGAATTACAGGCATGAGCCACTAGAGCCCAAGACAACTACTCTTTTGACTTTCTTAAGGATGAAATATGCTTAAATGACAATATATGTCACCTATTAGAAAGCTTTTTGCTTTGCAAAAAAGCACTTTTTATATGGCACAATTTTAACCTATTAGTACTTGTCAATTATTTAAAAAACTAAAATCCACAACATTTCATTTAATGAAATAATCATGTTCTGAAATTGTTAAAAAAAAAAAAAAAAGAAAAAAGAAAAAAGTCCAAAAGAAGTAATTCTTTTTTTCTTTTTGTCGGTTGTGGGACTTGAACTCTGGGCCTGGGCGCTGTCCCTGAGCTCTTCAGCTCAAGGCTAGCGCTCTACCACTTAAGCCACAGAGCCACTTCAGGTTTTCTGGGGGTTACTTGGAGATAAGAGTCTCAGGGACATTCCTGCCCGGGCTGGCTTTGAACTGTGATCCTCAGATCTCAGCCTCCTAAGTAGCTAGAATTACAGGCGTGAGCCACCGGCAACCAGCCTTAAACATCAGTGAGCCACCGGCCCCAGGCCAAAAGGAGTAATTCTGAAACACTTTAGACTTTAAAATAAAGGCAATAATATATTAGACTGAAGCAAACCACAATTCACTGACATCACACAAACATGTAAAAAAAAAAAAGTACTTTTACTGAATAATTAGTAGTCTAGCATGCTAGGCGACAGTAGTATAAAATATTTTTGAAACTAACTAGAGCTGAGGCATTGCAAATCTTCAGGACTGGAGAGAAGAGAATAGATGGATATACAAGCCCATATCTTTTGATTTAATATTTGGCTCTCAGTAATTCATCAAAATAATATTTTTTCAGGCAAATGTGGAAAGCATCTTTTATAAGAATATTTACTGCACCTTTGCGGTGCTAAAAAAAAAAAAGAAGAAGAAGAAGAAGGAAAGAAAAAGAAGGAAAGAGAAAGAGGGAAGGCGAGGGAGAGGGGGGAGAGGGAGAGGGAGGGAAGGAGGGAGAGAGAGAAAGAGAAAGAGAAAGAGAGAGAGACAGAGACAGAGAAAACCAAATGCCTAAAAGACTAGAAACACATTATGGCATATGCACATACTGAAATACTATGTGGCTATTATTAAAATATTGTAGCAATAAATGTAATGATTTGGAAAACGTTCGAATGAAAAGGTTTAATAGTACTAACAGCATGGTACAAGTTTATAGCAGGAAAAAAACCGTACACACAGATGCTTAGGAAATCCACCATGAAGAGATAAGAGGTGGACTTATCGTTTTCAGTTTGATTTTTCTTTTCTTCATCGCAGATGCATTATTTTGGTTCCAGAGACCACTCCCCCTCGCCATTAGTCAGAGCCAAAGGACAGCAAGAATTAGTCACCAACTCCCCATCCCGAAGTACTGTCCCAGGAGTGGCTACACTGTGGGCACCTGCCAGGCCAAGACTGTCCAGAGAAGCAGGAGCCGCCGCGGGCGTGGCAAAATAAGGCCGGAGGCCCGGTCGCCTCGGCACCGGGACCCCGCCCCCGGCCTCAGGCCCGTGCTACTCCCGCTCCAGTGACCCCGCCAGAGCGAGGCGCCCGGCCTACCTTGTAGTAAAACACCGCCTCGGAGTAGCGGCCTTCGTGGTCGCGCTGCACCGCCAGCCGGGCGAACTGCACGGCGTCCCGCTCCAGCGCCGTTGCGTCCATGGCGCCGAGGCTCCGCGCCGGGGGAGAGAGCCAGGCCTTGAAGCACCACGGCTCTCAGCCGACCACGGCGCACCCGGGAGCCACAGCGAGGACGTGGTGAGCCAGGGCAGGACCGGGAAAGTTTACTTTCGGCAGTGGGAGGGAAAGCAGATGTCTTCAGCTCCGGCCGCCGAGACGCCACGCCTCACGGAGTAGCCCCGGCTCGCAGCCCGAGGGGCCGCGGCACTTCACGTTCCCCCATCCCGCCCACTAGCCGCATTGCGCACGCGCAGCCAACCCAAGGGCGTGTCTCCAGAGGGGCGCCGCCCCATTCCGGACTGGAGGGGGGCGCACGAGAAAGTGGGTGGAGCCAGAGCCACCGCGGGAAGCCGTGCGGTCGCTGTGCACGTGATCTCAGCGTCACCTGTGATTGGGTGGCCGAAGACAGGTGTACTTCGACGAAGAAGGAGGTACTGCAGTCTGAAAGGAGGTGGTGCTGTTTCGGTTGATGCTTATTTAGAAAGGGGAATGTGCCTTCAGCACCTTCTCTACTAAGTGTAAAAAGGATACGTAGGCATAAAGAGGCAATGAGCTCTATGTCACAACATCAGCTGGACTGAGACCTACAGTAAGGATAAGAGGTTCTTCATTTTCCACAAATTCAATCATGACCCCAAATAGCTCTTCTAAGTATAGTATTGTTTGAATTGTCAACAAACTGGTGTATTTTCATTTGTACTTATTCTTAGGTTAATTTAGTGTTGCAGGTAAATAATTTGAATAATTAAATCATTTGACCAGTGTCTTCTGTCCTTTACAGATCTGAATAGATCTTTAGAGCAATAATGAGAATGATCTAGAGATAGGCTCCAGAGGTGAGATGGTACTCAATAGTCATGCTGAGTCTAAGAAAGGACAGTTGCTTCAGCAGTTTCATAACTGAAGCAGGGATAGTTTGTCTTTCAATTTTATCCCAACATTGGGAACAAGGCTGGTACAGAGTAGGAGTTCAACACATTTTAAAATCTTGAATGAGTGGACTCCTCTACTCAAATATATTTAATGCCCCTTCCAGCTTTATTTTGAAGAAAGCAATCTAAATTCCTTAGCCCAAAATGATAGTTACTAGTATCTCCTTCAATACATGAGCTCAGGCCACATTCCCAATGTGTTTCCATCACTGCTTTTTTTTTTTTTTTGGTCGGTCATGGGGCTTGAACTCTAGGCCTGGGTGTGGTCCCTGAGCTCTTCAGCTCAAGGCTAGTGCTATACCACTTGAGCCACAGCACCATTTCTGGTTTTCTGGTGGTTGTTGGCAATAAGAAACTCACTGACTTTCCTGCTCAGGCTGGCTTTGAACGGTGATCCTCAGATCTCAGCCTTCTGATTATTACCAGCAATACATTAGACAAAGTCCTAATATCCAATATATACAAGGAACTCAAGAAACTAACCCTTCTCAAACCTAATAAAGTACTAAATGGGCAAGGAAGCTAAGGAGCAACTTCTCAGAAGAAGAGGTAAGAATGTCAAAGAAATACATAAGGAAATTCTCATCATCCCTGACCATAAAGGAAATGCAAATCAAAACAACTCTGAGATTCCAGCTCATCCCAGTTAGATTGGCCAACATTTTAAATTTGAACAACAATACCACTTGTACTGCTGGTGGGAATGTAAACTAGTACAACCACTCTGAAAAGCAGTTGGGAAGTTCCTCAAATAACTGAACATTAGACCTTCCCTGTAGTCCAACCATACCACTCCTAGGCATCTACCCTGAACATCATGAGCCTATGCTAAGGAAACTGCACATCTATGTTCATTGCTGCACTATTCACACTAGCCAAGATATAGAAACAGCCCAGATGCCCCACAATAGATGAGTGGATCCAAAAAATGTGGCACTTATATTCGGTGGAATTTTACACAGCCATTAGAAAGAATAATATGTCATTTTCATGGAAATGGATGGAACTGGAATAAATCATGTGAAGTGAGGTAAGCCATGATTAGAGAGACAGTGCATTTTCTCTCTGATATGTAGAAGTTAGATTTTAAATGCAATGGGATATGAAAAATTACACAGGATTCTAGCTATTCATATACAGTGAGACCAAAAGAAGATACTATTAGTAGAGAATCACAAAGGCACTATGCCTAAGCACCTCTTCATATTTACAAAATAGTATACATACTGAAACAAACTCCCAAGATATGGAGAGTAGGAGGGAGGACACAGTATTCCAGGGGAAAGGAGTGTAAAAGTACAGCAGTAGAGCTCACTGGACATAGATGAAAGTGAACTATACAACTCATGGGTGGAGTTGGGAGGAAGGGACTGGGAGAAAATGAGAGAACAGATGACACTGTATGAAAAGAAATGTACTCATTACCTGACTCATGTGAATGTAACCCCTCTGTACATAACAATCCCTCTTTAATAACAATGATGTAATTTTTTATTGGGTGCCAGTGGCTCATGCCTAAGATCCAAGCTATTTAGGAGGTTGAGCTCTGAAGATCACAGTTCAATGCAAGAAGAGGCAGAAAAGTCTATGGGATTCTTATTTCCAATAAACCACCAAAAACAAACCACCAGAAGTAAAGCTGTGGTTCAAGTGGTAATGCATATCTTTGAGTTAAAAAAAAAAAAAAAAGCTCAAGGACAACACTCAGGCCCTGAGTTCAAGCCCCAGGACCAGCGCGCGCGCACACACACACACACACACACACACACACACACACACACACACAATGCATATGTATTCTAATTAGGCAAAATATGTATATAAATCCATACACATAAGCCCTAATAATATATCTTCTAATTTTGAATTATCCACATATGTGTGAGTGTATAGATATACCACTTGAGCCACAGCACCATTTCCTGCTTTTTCTGCTTATGTGGTGCTGAGGAATCAAACCCAGGGCCTCATGCATGCAAGGCAAGCACTCTATCACTGAGCCACCTTCCCAGCCCAAAAAGGCAATTTCTATCTTCATCTAACCCAGTATCTAGAAATAGAATAGCTATGCAATAAGCATGTCAAGCTGGTATACTCACAAATCTTACTCTGGAACAACTCTGACAGTCTGATGTTGAATGGCAGATTATTTTTCTGAACTTGTGTTGGCTTTGAACCTTGAACTTTATATATCACAGCTTCCTAGGATTATAGGCATGATCCACTGGTGCACAACTAAAGGTAAGAGTCTTGCAAGCCACAGAATGGAAACTGAGTGGTAAAGAGGGATTACAAGAAACTAGGCAGGCATAGTAGTCCCCTTACAAAAGGGCCAATATGCTTCTTAATCTCATGCTGCCATTCAAGGTAGGGGCTAACTTTATCAAGGAAAAAGTGCTCTGAGATAGAGATCCATCTCATCCTACACAGAATTTGTGGCTGGGTTTCCTACTCAGTATGAATTTGAAACTAAATTAGAACGAACAAAATGATTAGAATTAATAAGATTGATGATATGAAGTGTTGGGAAAGATGTGGAGCAACTGGAAATGTGCATCAGTTACTGGTGGATATATAAACTAGAACAACCACTTTGAAAAGTGGGAGATGGAAGCCTGTGGCTCACACCTATAATCCTAGCTACTCAGGAGGCTGAGATCTGGAAGACTGCTGTTTGAGGCCAGCCCACGAAGAAAAGTTCACTAGACTCCAGAGTTAAACGCAAATCAAAATAATATTGGAAAAAATGAAGGAAAACATTGAGATTCCACCTCACCCCAGTTAGAATGATCATTATCAAGAGGCAAATGATAACATACTGGCAAGGATGTGGTCAAAAGGGAACAACCCTAATACAGCATTAGTGGGATGTAAATTTGTTCAACCACTCTGAAAAGCAGTGTGGAAGTTCCTCAAAAAACTGAACATAGAACTATCCTATGATCCAGCCAATTATACTCCTGGGCATTTACCCAAGAGATTACAGACTACAATGAAGCCACCAGCACAACCATGTTTATTGCAGCACTATTCACTATAGCCAAGGTATGAAATCAGCCCAGATGACCCTCAACAGACAAATGGACCAAGAAAATGTGGTGTATATATGCACAATGGAATTTTACTCATCCATTAGAAAGAATGATATTGTACCATTCACAAAGAAATGGAAAGCCTGAAAAAAATATGTTAAGTGAAGTAAGTCAGACCCAAAGTAACAAAGGATGCATGTTTTCCCTTATACGTGGAAACTAGATTTAGCTTACAAACTCATAAATAAATACATTGAGTGGCATGCAAGGGTATACAAATGTATTAAATGAAATACAGTAGATTCAAGGGAGATCTCAAATAGTGTAAGTCCTTAGAAAGCCAAAATCAAAAGTTCATCAAAATAAAACTCCAGCAACTGGGTATTCAAAAGGGGTGGGATGGGGTCAAGGGAAAATGGGTAGATAAATGAAGGGGGAGGGGAAGTAGACAAGAATCCAATGTATATACTACAAAATTAAGAAGAGGGAAGGAAAGGGTGGGTAGGGGAGGGATGAGTGAGAATATTGGGAGGGATGAGTGAGAATATTGAAATGGATGACATTGATTAGCTAAGTTGTATTCACAAACTGCTTTGTTAAATGGCAACTCTTTTGTACAACTACTTTAAATAATAAAAAAACAAGTTTTAACCCACATAAAAGCAGGCAGAAGGCATTATTTAAGCAGTGGAGTGCCAGCCTAACACACTTGAGGCCCTGATTTCAACCCCCTGTATAGCCCCCCAAAAATGTTTTGGCAGCAACTTACATATGCATATAATTCAGTTCTATTTCCAAATACGTACAAAAAATAAATGACTGTATGTCCACTAAGAGAAATGTATAAATATGATATTATCAACTTTATTTCTTAATAGTGAAAAACTGGAAACAATCAAATGTTCATCAAGAATAGAATGAGTAAACAAATAATTCAATATTTATACAATTTAATATTTTACAATAATTTGTAAAGGAATGAAACACTAATACACAAAAAAAAAACATACATTCAAAAACATGGATATAGGGCTGGGAAGGTGGCTCAGTGGTAGAGCGCTTGCCTTGCATGCTTGAAGCCCTGGGTTCGATTCCTCAGCACCACATAAGCAAAAAGAAAAAAGCCAGAAGTGGCGCTGTGGCTCAAGTGGTAGAGCGCAAGCCTTGAGCTGAAGAGCTGAGGGACAGCGCCCAGGCCCAGAGTTCAGGCCCCATGACTGGACAAAAACCAAAAACAAAAGCAAAACAAA